TTTTAAAATGGTATATGTTTTCTAGGTTTCCTGGGGTTGCAGATATCACAAGGAATACTAAACCAACAATCCATACCAGGTGGATGTTGGAAGAACTGGGTGCTGGGTGGCTTGAGGTAGCCCCTGACCAAAATATAGAAATAACTAGTGACAAATAGTGAGTTAACTGAAATCAGTTCCTTTTGTAGGAGCCACTGGTGGCACAGTGGGTTAAACCCTTGTGCCAGCAGGACTGCTGACTGACAGGTCAGCAGTTCAAATCCAGGGAGAGCGAGTTGAGCTCCCTCTGTCATCTCCAGCTCCCAATGCAGGGACTTGAGAGAAGCCCCCCAACAGAATGGTAAAACATCAGTCATCTGTGCATCCTCTAGGCAACGTCCTTGCAGACAGCCAATTCTCTCACAAAAAAAGTGACTTGCAGTTTCTCACATCACTCCTGACATGAAAAAAGTTCATTTTGTCAGTGATCAAAATGTAGAAGCCTGCTTCCAGTTTTGAAAAACTTGGGCAAACTGAAGGCATTGGAGGGAATCCAGCAATCTGGATGGCCAACGTATAGGGATGTACTCATAAAAGAAAAAGAAAGATACTAATTAAGAAAAAAGAAGAAATTAATCAAAAGTTTAAAAATATTTCTTGGTCCCAATACATACAAATGAAATAATACTTTAATAAGGATAAAAAGGTAGGATTTGCAGAGAAAGATTCCTTTTGGCATAAAATAATGACAACGGAAAAGAAAGTAATTACTAAAATTTATTTTCGAAAACCTCTTAGAATGGGCTAGGGAAACAAATCAAATCAAAGACTGCATGGTTAAATGGGCAGCAAATATTGGAAAACCTATAAAATCAGAAGAATAAGAAAAAAAATGGAGTCACAAAATTAAATATACCTATGCAATTGACTTTTATACCAAGGAAAATTGGTATAAAATGATGTACCAGTGGTACATCACTCTACAAAAACTTTCAATTTGTTATAAAAATACATCAAACAAAAGTTGGAAATGTGGGGAACAGACGAGCATGTTTTTCCACTCAAGGAGGATGTGTGAAAATACTAAGTACTGGAGAGAAATTCATGATAGAATATAGAAAATGCTACATATAAAGTTTAAAATGAAACCAAAATATTTCATTCTAGGAATGCTGAATATAGAAAATGAAAAAATAGAGATATTGTTCAACCATTTAATGCCAGTCAGCACTATTGACTGACTGGCACAACCTGGGGATCACAACCAGACACAGTGAAGTGCCCTTGCGCTTTGCTGCTCTGCTGATGAGTACGTATGCCTGGTATGGAACACATTTCACCACGCTAAAACAGTGAATGTGGCTCTTAATGAGACATGCTGCATTATCATAGGATGTCTACGCCCCACACCACTGGAGAAATTATACGGTTTAGCCAGTATTGCTCCATCTGACATCCGTCAGGAATTAGCAGCCAATAATGAAAGGACCAAGGCAGTGACATCTCTGGCCCATCCTCTGTTCGGATATCAGCTAGCATGCCAATGTCTTAACTCAAGAAATAGTTTTCTAAAATCTACAGAGATATTCACAGGAACACATCAGCAAGTGAGAGTCCAAAAGTGGCAGGCAAAAACCCATGGCTGATGCCAAATGTGAGACTCCCCCCTGGGCACACAGAAGACTGGGTGACTTGAAAGGTGCTGAACAGACTTTGCTCTGGAACCACGAGATGCAGAGCCAACCTTGAGAAATGGGGCCACAAAGTGGAGTCCACGACATGCAAGTGTGGAGCAGAGCAAACCACAGACCACCTATTCCAATGCAGTCTGAAGTCCTGCCACATGCACAATGGAGGACCTTGTTATAGCATCCAGCAATCTGGGTGACACAGGGTACAGGAAGGCGAACTGATCACAAAGCTATATCCATTTGAAGAAGGAAAGTGGAATGCACTTCAGATCTTTCATGGAGATAACCCTTTGGAATAGTCACAGTGCTATTTCCATTTCCTCTGAACTATAAGTGGTACATCAAAAAAGTCACTCATCTGGCTCAATTATTTCTCTGCAGTAGGTCCTTGCAAGATCAGATATGCATGTATAAATGGAGTGCTCCTTTTGAAACCTTCCATTAACGGCAGCAACGTAGAGACCGTTGTGCCAGGACACTTAAAATCCAGCAGAGCTGTTATATGTACAAAGAAATTAACTAGGAATTTCAGATAACTTGAAATTTAACAGAATCACTAGGAGAAAGAAGGTGATATAACCAAGTCAGCATGGTTTGGTATTAGCTAAACAACCTTAAACGATTTTGGCCTTTTTTCTTTTTTTATGTATTTTATAAAAACAGCAGCAACATTTCGCAATTTATGTACAGCTCCCAATGAATGACACTGCTGGATGCTAATCAGATTGGGGAGTGGAGCGTGTTGCTGAAAATAACAGAAGGTTATGGAATCAAGGACAGAGTATTATGTTGCTTATTTGCAATGTTTGGGTAACTTGGTCAACTTGGTCTAGATTCCAAAATGTCACTCCCAATTCTCTACAAGTTTCATCTTTTTTAAACAAGATACTTGATAGTGTTATTTGGCACAAGCCATATAATCCTCTGTGGTACAATGATAATGTTTAGAAATTATTTATTCTTTATTCAAACACATGTAACAGTGAAAGCTACTTTGTGCTCCAACAGTTGAGTGATGGCTTGGAATTGTTGAACCAAAGGTATTTTGGGAGAACTGTGAAATATAAATTCTGTCAATGTCTATAGGCAAGTATAGGGTGAAAGTAAGGTACCGTATATACTCAAGTATAAACTGAGTTTTTCAGCCCTTTTTTTAGGCTGGTAAAGCCTCGGCTTGACTTGAATCAAGGTTATTTATTATTTTACTCCATTATTATTATTTTATTACATTTATTTTTATTAAATTTATTATTATTTATTAATTTCCTCTATTTATTATTATTATATTTATATTGTTAATATTATTACATTTATTATTTTACTCTATTATTACATTTATTATTTCACTCTGTTATTACTGTTATTATTACATTTACATTATTTTACTCTATTATTATTTTATTACATATGTTATTAATATTAATATTGGAAGGATATGCAAGCACATTTACATTGAAGAAGGTTAGAATAATGGCTTAATCAGTGTTGAACAGTCTTATCTTAAATTACAGTTTTATGTAGATATTCAAAAACATGTAACCTACTGATGCCTCAATTAATGTATTTTTATAGGTATCTATTTTTATTTTGAAATTTACCAGTAGCTGCTGCATTTCCCACACTTGGCTTATACTCGAGTCAATATGCTTTCCCAGTTTTTTGTGGTAAAATTAGGTGCCTCGGCTTATATACGGGTTGGCTTATACTCAAGTATATATGGATATTTGTGACATCTTTGCATTCAACTTTCCATTTTCTAAATACAAAGAGCAGTCATTGCACTGATAACTACTGGAATTACATAGAAGTAGGAGCTGTTCAGTTCTTTCCTCCCTTACCATGAAATTCTCAGAAAAGTGTAGAGCCCTAATGGGCTCATTATGGTATAATCAAAAGATAATCCTTCAAAGAACCTTTATATGTTATTACCAGCACTTTGAGTTGTGTCTGGAATGGACTGGAAGCCATTGGAACTGCTGCATTAACCATCAAAGGTTACCTTTCTTGCAAAGAATAATGAGAGTTTCAGTACAACAAAATCAGGAAGATCACAAATTGTCAACTCAACGTACATGTTGCACTGCTAGCCATATCTGACCTGACTAAAAGCTGCAATTAATTACCCATTTGGATAAATTGGATGTTCTATCTGGAACCTACCAGTTCATCTCTTTCATAAAGATATATACACACTGAGATTTACATATGGAAATGCGGAATTTAAGAGACAATATAATAAGCCATATAGTAAGCCCAGATTTCAGTTGCATCTAGAACAGTGGTTCTCAACCTTCCTAATGTGGTTCCTCATGTTGTGGTGACCCCCAACCATAAAATTATTTTCATTGCCTCATATTAACTATAATTTTGCTACAGTTATAAATCGTAATGTAAATATCTGATATGCATGATGTATTCTCATTCACTGGGCCAAAATTTGCACAAATACCCGATATGCCCAAATTTGAATACTGGTGGGGGGGGGGGGTTTGAGTTTGTCATTTGGGAGTTAAAGTTGTTGGGATTTATAGTTAACCTACAATCAAAAAGCATTCTGAACTCCACCAATGATGGAATTGAACCTAACTTGGCACACAGAACGCCCATGACCAACAGAAAATACTGGAAGGGTTTGGTAGGCATTGACCTTGAGTTTTGGAGTTGTAGTTCACCTATATCCAGAGAGCACTGTGGGCTCAAACTATGATAGATCTGGACCAAACTTGGCACAAAGACCAAACACTGGTGGAGTTTGGGAAAAATTGACACTGACATTTGGGAGTTGTAGTTGCTGGGATTTATAGTTCACCTACAATCAAAGAACATTCTGAATCCCAACAATGATAGAATTGGGCCAAACTTCCCATACAGAACCCCCACAATCAACAGAAAATACTGTGTTTTCTGATGGGTTTTGGTGATCCCGACACCCCCTCACGACCCCCCCCCCAGAGGTAACAATCCCCAGAAACACTGATCTAGAACCATCAAGCATGGAAGTAATAGATTCCTCATGAGCTCATCTTATTTATGAAATTCAATAGAGAAATTGTGCTAAGAATTCAATTGCGGAGGCATTCATGACTTGTATCTTGCAAACCAATGGTATTGTGCCCATCTATATGTAGTTCATCCCAGACATCCAGTTCTGTTTTACACAGAGGTAGAAGTAAATGGGATTTGCTGCTTTTATAAGGAAGGTTTGCTATCATAGCATATGTACACAACTCTAAAGCGCTTGTAAAGCTCTTGTAACAGCAATTTGACATCCAATGTTAATATCCAAGTCCATGCAAAATTCACTAATGTTTCTATATTTCATTTTTTTAGGTTGTTGGTGTGGCACAAGCAATCAATAAGAAGTCTGGTGGAGGAGGAACATTTACTGAACAAGATGAGAAGGTAGAAATTATTGAATTGACTTCATTTTTACTAATAGCTGCCAAACAATCTGAGATGAGGACAGATGGCTGTAGCAAAAAGACCGACTTAACATTAGGACCTGGCTCTTTCTTGGAAGGCTTGCATGTGGTCTGCAATCATTTGTACATTGCCCATTTTATCATTTGGTGTTTGCTTTTAGTTCAGTGGATTCCTTTTATACTATATTTTTGTATTGGGATTATAGACACCAAGGGATAGCTCATCTCACCCTCTCCCATGAACTGGATGACATCTGAGCTGCTTTTTCTTTAAGAATTCCTATACGAGCCCTAATGATCTGGATTAGCAGCTGTTTTCCATGTTCACTTATAGGTTTTCCTGTACCATTTGTTTCACCACTGTTAAGAACAGTAGACGCTTTCATAGGTCTTTGGTTGGATCCAGCGGGCTCTCTGTAACCACATTAGAGCTCTGCTAGATTAGCCCAAAGACTTGTACAGGGGAACATCCTATAAACAGGAAGCACTAGAATATACAGCAGCATTTATGATCTCATCATGACAGTCTGTTGGTTCCATTTTCTTGCAGAGTTCTTTGATTCAGCTCACTCTTTAAACGTTGTATCATTTTCCTTATATCTGTGTCATAGCTATATCACTCTGTAGCTACAGAAATGTCATTTTTTGTGTGGATGACAGATTCAGGCCGGAAAAAGTGGATTTATTCTGATGTAAACTATTGCCATATTTAGCCTGTTATATTCCACTCAGCTGGGAGCACTGCCAGATTTATGTACAAGTTGCATAACTTGTAGTAAGTATGCTTGTTACATTACAGAGGTCTTCTATATCACTACTATTGTTATTGTTGTTGTTATTCTACTATACAACAGAAAACACATTTTAACAATACTATGGGGTATTTTAAAGTTGGCATAGCTTTCCTCTCTTTGCATGTTGTAATGGAATCTTGATTGATAGAATCTCTACAAGATTTTGTGTGGAAAGTCTTCTCCAGTCAGAGATTGTACCTTAAGCATGCTACATGCATAGAATATGATTGGTTTGGACCTGACATTTAATGCACAGTAAGCATGTAGAATCATAGAATCACATAATAATAGAGTTGGAAGAGACCACATGGACCATCTAGCCCAGTGGTCCTCAACCTGGGGTCCCCAGATGTTTTTGGCCTTCAACTCCCAGAATTCCTAACAGCTGGTAAACTGGCTGGGATTTCTGGGAGTTGTAGGCCAAAAACATCTGAGTACTCCATGTTGAGAACCACTGATCTAGCCCAACTCTCTGCCATGCAGGAAAAGCACAAACAAAGAACCCCTGACAGATGTACTCTAACCACTGAACTGTGGGCCTTCCATTTAACCCTTCATTTTGTCACACTACAGTGATCATTTTATTTTATCCACATAAAAATAGTTAAAATAAAATAAGAGCTGGATACTTATGTTAAAAGGGGCACTCATTAAAGATTTCCCTGACCCACTTCTATTTATCACAGGATGCTGAAACTGCACATGTGTAATGATATGTCTCTATAGGTTATGTGCCAATTTACACCTCAGAACTGATAACGGTCTTGAGTTCAAAGGTGCTGAAGTGGTGTGAGGTCTGATAATGGACCCAGTGGAATACAGAGCAGTCATCAAGTTCCTTCACTTGAAAGGCCGCACACCAAAGGAGACATTTGATGAGATGAAAGAGGTTTATGGGAATGATTCGACATCATATCATGTAGTCAGGAACTGGCATCGTCAATTCAAATGTGGTCAGACTTCGGTGGAAACACCTCCAATTACAGGATGATTCCACTCTGCTATTGATGAACACACCATCCAGCAAGTGGAGATCACCATTTTGGAAAATTGCCGCATTACCATTCGCCACCTAGCCCAAAATGTCAAGATTAGTATGGTGCCATGGGAAAAAAATCCAAGACCAACTTCACATGTATAAGGTATCCGCACACTGGTCCCCCAGCTCCTCACACCTTTCCAGAATAAGGAACGAGTCGAATGCTTTCAGGCTCTACTGACGATGTGCCATAGAAACCAGAAGGACTTTTTCAACAAAATGATCACACAGGATGAAAGCTGGGTCCATCACTATGATCCTGAGACTAAAATCCAGTCAATGCAATGGACACATCATGACTCGCCACCTCCAAAGAAGAAATGTGCCCAACTCTTGGCAGGAAAAGTCATGCTCACAGTATTTTCGAACCAGCACAGTGTAGTATTAATGAATTTCCTAGCAAAGGGTACCATGATCCCTGGGGCATACTATGCTTCACTGCTGTGGAAATTGCGGGAGGCCATCAATACCAAGAGACCTGGCATGCTCACCAAAGATGCCCACCTTCTGCGAGACAGTGCACCAGTTCACAACTCACATGTTGCCCAAATGGAAGCATCCTCCTGTGGCTTTGAAATTATAGCGCATTCCCCTTATACACCCGACCTTGCACCATCAGACTTCCACCTCTTTCCAACAATGAAGTTATTTTTGAAGGGCAAGCATTTTTCAGATTTCCAAAGTCACAACGTGGCTTTTGGAGCAACCTGTCGACTTCTATAAGTGAGGTGTTTACAGTTGCTTAAAAATATGGGAGAAGTGTGTGTCCCTAGGTGGAACCTATGTAGAGAAGGACTAATAACTGTGCCAAGTTTCATTGCTCTCAGTCCACAGGAAGTGGGTCAGGGGAAATCTTTAATGAATGTCCCTCGTAGGCACTCTAAAAACAAGTACAGTGTAGGAATCTAATCCTGGGTTAAAATACTATCAAATGATTGTTTGCAAAATAATGTTTTCATATTTGTGTAATTTGTGCAACTGCTATGTATTTTTCTTTTAGAAAGAAGAAATAAGTTAAATTTGGATAACAGCCATAGTTCAAAAGTACTAGCTTAACTGAGAAGTGCTTGAGGCATAGAGGACTGAAATTGTCAAGTTTTAGTAGCTTTATTAAAAGCTGTGTTACTCCATGAATAATTAGTGGCTTGCCAAATAGAGTTGAGCTCAAGCCAGTGAAGCTGACAAACTCTGGCAGCAAGAAAATCAGAATTCATTCATTTCTTGTAAAAGGAATGTGTGGTGAACATCTGCAGGGTATCAAAATTAATACACTTTCTGGCTTTTTAACTTAAAGACTGATCCAGTTTCTACTTTGAAAAGACATGATTTCTTTGTGTAACTGACAACAAGCTTGGTATATGTGGTTCTCCAGATCTATTAATTAAAGAACACTGGGTTTTGTTTTTTTTCATATCAGGAGCGACTTGAGAAACTGCTAGTTGCTTCTGGTGTGAGAGAATTAGCTGTCTGCAAGGATGTTGCTCAGAGAACGTCCTGATGTTTTACCATTCTGTGGGAGGCTTCTCTCATGCCCCCGCATGGGAAGCTGGAGTTGACAGATGGGAGCTCATTTTGCTTCCTGGATTTGACTTTTCGGTCAGCAGTCCTGCCGACAGAAGGGTTTAACCCATTGCGCCATTTCAGCTCCTGTTATCATGACAAAAGAGAGGTTAATATTACATAGGTAATACTTAAGAATAAATATATTGGTGTCAGAATAATATACTTCTTCTTATGTAAGCTGTGATTATAAACAAATGCTGGGAACTTGGCAACTGCTGGCGAATAGGACAATTTTATGCATGTTCGTTCAAAAATAATCTTGAAACACTCTTCGATAACATCTATTGAGTCTTATTATTATTACTCAGGGAAGTGGATTCTTGATTTTAGTTTGTTTGCTTTGGACCAGGCGGATGAAACTCTGTGGAAGTCATTGCACATTTAATATTACACATAATATAGGGCATTGTCTCAATCTGTTTTTGTGTTTGCAAGAAATAACCACAAATCTTTACTTCTGGGGATCTGGTCACAGGTAGAATTTGATATTTTAAGACACTATATAAACAACACTCACTGCTACTAAAGCAGGGTGCTTGTGAACAGAAAATAACAGCCTCCTTTTAGCTATTTAAGCCTAACCAAATAAATGGAGTGCTATAAGAAATGAGGAAACACAAGATCACATCAAGGTGTAAATACAGGCAGTCCCCAAGTTATTAACAAGATAGGTTCTGTAGGTTTGTTCTTCAGCTGAATTTGTATGTAAGTTGGAATAAGTACATTTTAAGTGTAACTCCAGCTTTGGATAGCACAGGGATGGGTTAACATCCCCGTGGTGTTTGCTTTGCTGCCTATGCCCCTGTTCAGAAGATTTTGCCATACTTTCTGTCCCTGTGAGAATTGGATTTTGAAAAATGTGGCTTGTTGTGGAAACAAGGATTGGTGAGAAAGCTTCAGTGGAGATACCTTTTCCCCATGGTAACTCTTTCAGGAGTGAATTTCCCTTCCGAGGGGTAGATTTCTCTCACTTCCTGTTGTCTCTCTCCTGTTCATTTGTAAGTCAGATGTTTTGTCCTTGTTTGTAGGAGTTCATATCCAGGCTTTGTCCCTTTTGTGATTATGCAGAATGAAAATACACTAATAAGGACTGCCAAACTATTTTGCAATATTTTAAAGTCGATGCAAATCATGGATGACATTGGACCTAGGCTTAAAAGGGTAATTTTCTATGAAACTCCCAGGATTATCTTTAGAATGAAGACTAGATAGTAATGAGATGCAAGGAAAAATTCTTTATTTGGTGGGGGGGGGGGGAGGTTTACAAGGCTGTAAAAAAGTCACATTTAAAAAGTAATGAAACATGTTAAAGCAAGATAAAAAGGTAAAGTTTTCCCCTGACATTAAGTCTAGTTGTGTCTGACTCTGGGAGGTGGTGCTCATCTCCATTTGTAAGCCGAAGAGCTGGCATTGTCTGTAGATATCTCCAAAGTCATGTGGCCAGCATGACTGAATGGCACACCATTGCCTACCTTCCCGCTGGAGCGGTTCCTATTTATTTACTCACATTTGCATGTTTTCGAACTGCTAGGTTGGCAGAAGCTGGGGCTTTCAGCAGGACTTCACCCTGCTCCCTGGATTCGAACCGCCAACCTCTCGATCAACAACTTCAGTATATTTTTTTACATTTTTAAACTTTATTGATGCAGCGTGTAAAATTATTTTCAGAAGTTGTATTTTTAGAGAAACTTTTTGTTTTTTTAATTTGGATAGGCTATGTTTGAAACATTTTGTTATCAATCATAAAGATTTTTTCTTTCAAAAATGTAATAGAAAGCAATAGAAAAGTAGTAAGAGAAGCACAAAAAGTAAAATTACAAGTTCAGCATGGTATTGAGTAACAGGTTACTCCTCAAACACTGCAACGGGTAACAGAAACAAATTAACAAATTTAAAAGTAACTTTCTAAATTCCAGGTGGAATTTCAACCAATATTTTATGGGACCTATCTATATTATACCTTTATGGAAATTAGTGGTCTCAAAATGAAGATGCCAATTCAATTTCATTCCTGTTTTTCGATTCTAGGATTTTTCTGCTTACTTGGCATTTTGTGGGATTGTTCTTCACAATGCTCAGCTCTACGAGACATCCTTGCTTGAAAACAGACGCAATCAGGTGAGCCTAATATTTTGTGTCAGAATGGATGGGGGCAAGACATTTTAGTGCTGTGGTGAAAAACAAGAGGGCACCTTCCCAAACACAAAAGCTGACTAGAGAGGTAGTGGAACTCTTTATTCCATGCTAACAATGAAACAGTCTTCTTCACTGCACCTGAAATCAGTAGACTAGCTAGGGTTCTAATTTAGCACACATCCTTCTCTCTTGACATCCTGTTTTTGCTCCAGAATCTGCAACTGCAGGCAGCCACATCATTCTACTTTATGGTAGGGCTACCCTTTCATTCAGGTTTCCTAATTTTTAATGGACTAAAGCCGCCCTGAGTCCCCTTGTGGGAGAAGGGTGGGGTAGAAATGAAGGAAATAAATGAATTAGTTCCAATATGTGCTGTGTGATGCTGCTGCTATGGATAGCACCCTTCACTACCAAGTTGGGTGACATGGGGCAAGAATGTTTTTGTAGGTGATGTAGTATCACTTGCTGGCCTAGTCTCTGCTGCTAGGAAAAGAAAGATGTGATGGAGATCAGAGGACCAGCTGATCTGTTTGGTTGTTTGCCATGCAAGTAAAATGTTCCTGTAAATTACAAAACCCACAAATGTTCAAAAATAATATTGAAAGAGTTGATTGCTACCAGAATGTTTGTTGTTTTATTGTGGTGTGTTTATTTTTATTTTATTTTTGATTTTATTGTGTCGTGTTTCAATCTTTGTTTTCCCGGGCTTGTCCCTATGTAAACTACCCTGAGTCCCTTCAGGGAGATGGAGGCGTGGTATAAAAATAAAGTTGTTGTTGTTGTTATTTCCATTGTGCCAGCAGTGGACATCCATGTTTCTCCAAATGTTTTTGAGCCATCATTCCTACAAATCCTGGACATCATAGCCAATGCTGTAGCCTTATGGGAATTGGAGTCCTGGTGCATCCGGAAGCCCACAGCTGGCATTTGTATATTTATACCACTATTCTCCGTGCTATCAGGAAGGGAGTCAAGGTAGCAATGTATTACATCACTAACAGATTTCTCCCATTTTGCCACTGGAGCTCATGACCTTGAATGACAAATTCCATCATTCCCAGCAGCAGTGACCTCCTCTTCTTCCCTTTCTGCAGATAGCACTAACACAGCTCTGTTCTAAGAGGTTTCCATTAAAAACAAATATAAACAAATGGAAAAGCTTCATTAAGTCTTGAATTGTTCAATGTTCTCTCAGTTTTCCTAGGATAGGACTGACCAAAAATATTTTGTTTCTTGTGGTAAAGGACAAAGTACCAACTCTACTATCAACTAATTGAATGGGTAGATCACATTTTGATTGCGTCTACAAAAAACCCTCTGGTGGACATGGGGCATCTCTATATCTTGCAATACATTTGTCATGCAGTACTCTTCAGTTCACACAGTGCAAGTTTATTTTATCCTAAGAGTTGTATTTTAAAAACTAGTCACCAGCACATTGGAATGATGTCTACTATGATTACTCCTTCACTTTATCCTTTGCCGCTAAATATATTTTCCTAATGGAAAGGTCTAGAAAAGTTTAAAAGGCATTCAGGTATGGGCTAATTATAAGATTTCTGTCATGAGTTCTTTCCAAAGCCTGTGAGTTGAGCTTTTTGGAGCCATCTTCATACCAAATGTTTGTTCTAATGTGTTCTATGTAGTTCAGTGGGCAGTGCTGAAGGACAGCTGACACTGGAAGAAATAAGAAATTGAATGATTCCAAAGCTTTGAGAACTTCCATTTTTGGATTTGCTCATTGGCATACTCTAGGAATTATAATCCAAAATATACCTCTTCCAAAGTCTGGTTTTACATGTTCTTCTTGGGCCTAGTTGAAATGCTAGGGAGGAAACCAGATGAAGGAAGATGCTTTCAGAACTTCTCTTCATTCCTGACTACCCACCTACACACAACCTTTTTACTGGCACTGGGTTGAGTTTGTGTCTGAACCAGTCTTGAGTCTGCTTTATTTTTTGTGAGCTTACTCAGACTCTGAGGCTCCTTCTCATGTATTAATAGTGTGTTTACTGTATCTGGTGAAGCAGAGCTGGTCTCTCTCAGTGTTTCTAAGGGTGTGTCATCTACCCATGTGCTTTGTTGAAGGGTTATTTATATTCTACCACTGTTTGCGGAGGGAAGTATCTAGTGCCTCTCCGGCCAGTGTGAAAAAACATTGGTAGGAATAAAATGGGCAGACAGGGATCTACAACTTTCCACTGGGGTGAAATTTCAAAGTTGTTTTCAAAAGCTTTTCACAATTTCAGGCCACCACCCCAACCAGGTTCCCATCATACTGCACTCATGGTTGTTTTTTAAATGGAGCCGTTAGCTGGCCAAATTGAGACTTCCTCTCTTCTTTCAAGCAAAAGTCTCTCATCCTGTCAAGTTACAGTGAGGTGCTGTGGAAGAAATCCAGGCCTCTGTTGAGCCAAACGTTCATGGATGTGAGTCCCTACTCTGCTAAGAATGTACTTGGCAATAAAAGCCCGAAAGTCCAATAATAGATGATTGATGAATGATGCCTCTGAATTGAGACAGTCAGTAGAAAGTGTTGGTAGCCAAACAGTTATTTTATGCTAAGTATTATATACACTGGCTTGACCAATAGTAATCACCCAAAGAAAAGAAAACAAGTTTTTAAAAAGGGGGATAAAACAAATCCACAATGAGATGAACGGTTTTCTTTTTTGTTGCTTTTCCATGGATCTTTACAATTTCCCAAACTTCTCAACACAATGCAATATTTTAAAAAATCAGTTTTATATATATATATATATATATATATATATATATATATATATATATAGTTATACTTTATTTTTCATGCTGCTGAAGCAATCGAGTGCTCCTAAAGCAATGGAGGATTCTCATAAATCACAACAAGAACTGCAAAATAAATCAACTAAAAATCCCTTTCTTAGCTGGGATTTCTCCATCCATCGTTCTGAAAGTATAACTCAAAATATGTCCTAGATTCCAACACTGGTAAACATTTCCAGTAATATAAAGCCTGAAAAGTTAAAAAAAATGGACAAAGGAATTTTGTTAGATAACAAAATATAGCTAAGATTATTATTATTATTATTATTATTATTATTACTATTACTATTTTAAATAAGGATCCCATATTAAGTATACAAAAGTATTGTTGGCTCTCCTTCCACAACTTGGTACCCTCCAGAAATGAGATTCTGTTAGTCACCTGCACAAAATAAATGCTTGCTAGTATAGGTACACTTGACCTGTGTTAGACAGGCATTATACTAGATTAATCATTCTTGTGTTCACCTGCTATGCAATTATGCAGATAGAGATTCCCAAACTATGACGTGAAATGGGAGCACTGCTTAGAAATGCAATCACTTGTACAAATATTATGCCATTTGCGCAATCCTGATTTGGATACCACCTTTGCACAAGGGTCTGAGAAAACACAAACCACTCAACTATATTATCTATGCCAGTAAGTCATCAACAGGATTCTGGTCTTTGGTTGCAGTTCCCATCTCTCGGCATGGTAGATCTAGCCCATGTAAAGGGTACTGGATTGAGGAAACCTGCTACGAGACCTCCCATATCAGAAATTTCAAGAGTCTGTAGTCTTGGTCTGAAGGGAGGGAGGGTGAAAATGCTTCTAGTTATTTTTACAGCTGTGGCAACATATGCCCAATTTTTGGGATGCCTTGATCTTTGGTATTAATTGGAATGAATGTTTAAATCTAAGGGGTTAGAAGGCAAGGTGGTTCATGGAGATTTGATCTCCCTTCTGTGAGAATATTCCATTTATACATTTAAAACATATAGATCTTGCCTTTCCCCAGCAGGTGGCCAATAAAATTCAAATGTCAGTTTAATAAACAACAAAAAGTAGTTGGACAGTCAAAGGGGGTTACCAGAGGAGAGAACACTTCTAATAAAAACTAGTTGGAAGAGCAGGAGCTTCTTTTTGCAGGAGCAAATATTCCATAGTTTCTTTGGGAACTCAAGAAGTACTTGCTTGCTCAAAATGTGAAGCACATGCCTTTCAAATTAGTCCAGGTCTGTGGTTCTCGGCTTCTGGTTCTCCAGAAGTTTTGGAGTTGGCCTCCCAGAATTCCTCGCCATCAAACTACGTTGGCTTAGACTTCTGGAAATTGAAGTCAAATCTTCTAATGACACTACACTGTTCTCCTGCTATATTTCACTTTAATTGTTATTGGAATACCATGTGGAATTCTAAGATTTGTAGTTTAATGAGGTTCAATGTCCCTTCCTAAACTCCAGTTCCCAGGTTCCATAGGATGTTGCCATGGCAGTTAAAGTGGAATATAGTGCTGAAACAGTTAGTGTAATAAGGAATCAGAATATCTGGAAGTAAATATGTTGGGAACCACTTTTACAGCATTCCTCATTTCCATTTGGTTATTTGCTCTCTTAAAGAGGCAGTAAATAATATATACCAGACCTTAAGGGCCCTTCCAGACAGATCCTTCATCCCGAGACCTGATCCCAGGTTTTCTACTTTAAACTGGATTGTATGAGTCCACACTGCCAGATAATCTGGGATAGATAGAAAACCTGGGATCAGATCCTGAGATATAGCGTTTGTCTGGAAGGGCCCAAACCCTCTTAGGACCCTTCCACACAGCCATGTAATCAAGGACATCAAGGCAGATAATCCACAATATCAGCTTTGAACTGGGTTATCTGAATCCTTACTGCCATATAATCCAGTTCTATGTGGATTTTATACAGCTGTGTATACAGTCCTTATTAACCCCTATTTTGATTACCTTTGTTCCCCAACTGCATACTGATATTCTTTATCTATTTTTCACCTTTCTCTCAATATCAGACCCAACAGTGTAATATAGTTAAGTAAAAATAAAACAATATATGGTAAAAAGTAAATTATGTAGTTTTTTTTATATCTATCAGAAATGTGGCTATTGAATTTTTCCCATCTGCAGGTGCTTCTTGATCTTGCAAGCCTAATTTTTGAAGAGCAGCAGTCTTTGGAGGTTATTTTGAAGAAGATAGCTGCTACAATAATTTCCTTCATGCAGGTGCAAAAATGCACTATTTTCATAGTGGATGAAGATTGTTCTGTAAGTACGGGATTGGACCAAACTTGGAGGAAATAAGATTTTAATTCTTTCCTTACACATTTTACAGCCAGCTCTCAACTTTTCATTACTATTGTTGTTCAACATACGTCTTCTGGTCTTTCACAAAATGGCTGTAATCAAATGGGTTGTGAGGGATTAAGTTCCTGAACTAAGAAGAGTGGGCAGTGCTTGCTTTCCATTATGTATTGGAGTCTGTCTTTGATTTTTTACTTTATTGCTTTAATATATAGCCAGACTGCCCCATATTCCCATAGATCAGTGTACAGGAAAACAAACAAATTAAAAGAGGATGTAGCAAAGTAGTAAAGTCTTCTATGCTTTGCATTCAGAGGATGCAAAATTCAATCTTCACTATCCCTATTGGTGAGAATATGGACCAACATCAGTCAATAATGTGAAGTTTATCATTGTCTAGTAGGCTACAGCTGAGTCAAACATTAGGACTGAAACATTTTCACTAACTTTATAAAGTAGGCTCTGCAGAGATTAGGAAAGTAAAATCTTGTGACAATAGAAACACCACAAACTACAAAAAAATTACTTGAGAAAACATCCCTCTAGGGATTTTAAGGTCCTCCAGAATGATTCTGTGTTCAGTGTTTGCTAAAAGTTGTCAAAGAGTTGCCCTGGAGGACCTAGAGATTGGAGATAATGTTTTATCCAAATCCATGAATAATCAAATCCGCAAAAGTTGAATCTGCAAATATGCAGGACCAACTGTACTGTTGTTCTGGCTCTTAAATTTTACCATCAGACAGAAAAAAAACTCACTGGTTTCAAAAGATCCTTTACTTCATTAGGCAGAAAAGCAACTAGTGAAATGTGTCCTTTGAAATGTATATAGTTTTATTTCAATTGTGCATGTGTGTATGTTTTAACTAAGCAGAAATAAACTTCTTATTTTTAGGATTCATATTCTAGTGTTTTCCACATGGAATTTGAAGAATTAGAAGATTCCAATGAGACACACAAAAGGTAAAAAGGTTTGGATCAGAGATTGCTACTGCTTTCATTATTAAAAGGACTCATGAGCATCACTTTGTGCATATTGGGTAACTCATATTCCACCATTATAACCAGAAAGGTTATAGGTATGAAGGAATAAGCTCTGTGGCTTTAGTCAAAAACCTCTCTGCAGATGTATTTGATTTGGTAGTGTCAAAGAAACTAGTTTGAGGCTGATCCATGACAATTTTGCAATTTAAAAGAAAAAGAATTGCATATTTATAAGAATTTAAAATTTGATGAATGACCACCAGCAGTTTAAGAAGCATTGTCTCCTTTTTTTTGTCCTACAGACTCATAGAAGGTTAACCTATCAGCTATTTTTTCTGTATGGTGTCTTCAGAATAACTTTTTTTGTATGCCAGGTCAGAGAAAAGGCTTAGCATACATTTTGGCATAGTATGCCTATGTAGCTTTTAATTATAATTTAATTCATTCATTTGTTATATCTAATGATGCTTGTCAAGTGCCTTCAGTAGCATGTTCAGTAGTAACATTATTTGAAGAGGACATAGGATATAAATGAGTGTGGATGGGTGCTAGATAAATTGGGGAAAATACAGTTAAATCTCCTACAATGACAGAAAGTAAGACAAAATTGTGGGTTTGCGGAAATGAATAGAAGTCATAGGGTTAATTAGATGCTTGTTGCTGTTACATCTAGAATGGACTACTGTATAATGCACTCTATGTGGGGCTGCCTTTGATGACGGCTTGGAAACTGCAATTAGTCGAAAGGTCGGCAGCCAGATTGCTAACTGGGGCTGGTTATAGAGCGCATGTGTAGTGAAATCTACCTTTAAGGCATCCAGGCCGAAGCCTGAAAGTCAGTGGCTGTCATCTTGAAAGACAGGCAGAAGCAGGAGGAGGAGTCAAGCCGACTCCTGATTGGTCAGAGCAATTAGGGGAGGAGTCGGTTGAGAGAGGGAAAGAGGCTGTCAGCTTTTGACAAGAGGGGAGAAGTGTCTTGACATCAGACACAGAAGGAAGGGATTTTTAGGAGAGGAAGCTAAATAGGAGTCTGACAGGGAAAGAAAGCTTTAAAGTGAGCCTTAAGGATAGGGAATAAGTAGCAGACAAGGGCTAGGGTTACTGTATTGAGAGGATCAGTAACAGAAAGACTTGTCTTCTTAGACTTAGGAGAAGTTTAAGAGAGCTTATTGCCCTGTGTGTGAGACAGATAGGAGTCTGTTCTCTAAGTGATACTGTTTCTAGGAGTAGAGCAGTGTGTTTAAGGAAACTCACAGTTTTAAAAGCTTTATTGTCAGTGAAACTCCTGATTTAAATATACTAAGCCTCTACAACTGAATCAAGTTTCTGTACCGCTCATTCTATGAGTAGATATTTGCTTGTAGTTCAATAAACCTTTTCTAGTTCATTTTTAACTGGTGTCAGCTTCAGTCTGTCAATCTCCTCAGAACTAAGTCAAGTCAATAATAGAAATCTCTTTAAAGTCCAGTCAGCCAGCGAAGAAGCAATAGAAGAACTAAGGGCAAACACACCTTACCTACAACACATTCACACCTTTTGGTTCCTCAGACCAATAAAAGCTAAGGTGGTGGCAGTCACAACTATCAAAAGCATTGGTCATTGATATATTTAACTTATGGTCAGCTGCTAATATTTGTTATACTACTGTATAATGCACTCTATGTGGGGCTGCCTTTGATGACGGCTTGGAAACTGCAATTAGTTGAAAGGTCGGCAGCCAGATTGCTAACTGGGGCTGGTTATAGAGCGCATGCTACACCCCTATTAAAGCAACTCTGGACCCAGTTTCTGGGCCCAATTGAAAGTGCAGGCTATTACCTATAAAGCCCTATATGTTTTAGGTACAACCTATCTTCGAAACTGCATCTCTTTTTATGAACCATGCCGAGCTTTAAGATATGCTGGGGCGGCCATCCTCTCGGTCCCACCTCCATCTCAAATGCGGTTGGTGGGGACGAGAGAGAGGGCCTTTTCGGTGGTAGCCCCCTGGCTTTGGAATGCCCTCCCAAAGGAGATTAGGTTAGCCCGCTCTCTTCAAACTTTCCGGACATAACTGAAAACATGTTTTTTCAACAAGTCTATGGACCATGATTAGCACGTTACTAACTAAACCTCAGTCCTTAGTGATTGATTCTGTTAGCACTTTATGGACTAAGACAGTTCACAGCCTGTTATACTTGCAGCTTTATGTATTTATTTATTTATTTCATTTACTTATACCCCGCCCTTCTCACCCCGGGGGGGACTCAGGGCGGCTTACAGTGGGGGCACAATTAGATGCCCAAAACAATTCACAAGCAATACAAATACAAACAGCTAATATTTTCTCTTTTAAAAGTATGGAGGAGAAATAACATTTTTTTTTGTTTTCTACTATGATACCTTTCAGAGTTTTGCTAACAATCTATATGAAGTGTCAGTGAAAAGGTCATAAACTGCTGTGTTCTCAGAGCAGCTCCCCCATCCCCAGAGTTATTTATGTGTCTCAGGGAAGTCATGAAACCATTCTACATTTTTTAAAGCATAATGAGATAGTGGAAGATGACGATCTAATCTTCGTCCCATGGGAGTTGAGTTCCATATTTTTTTCCGTCTAGCAGGTGGGGTGGTGCACGCACTTGGAATGGGCGCGTGCTGGCTCCTCTTCCCCGGTTCATATTCACCAATTCTCATCCCCTCCAGCCTCACTTGTGACAGTGGCGGGGTCGAGAGCAGAGCCTCCCCAGAAGATCTTAAGCTTCGAGGTGGGATGTAGAGGGAGATCCGTTCGGACAAATACACTGGGCCGGAACCGTATAGGGTTTTGTAGGTCAAAACCAGCACTTTGAATTGTGCTCGGAATTGGATCGGCAGCCAGTGGAGCTGACGCAACAGGGGGGTGGTATGCTCCCTGTATGCCGCTCCGGTGAGCAATCTGGCTGCTTCTCGCTGGACTAGTTGAAGTTTCCGAGCAGTCTTCAAAGGCAACCCCACGTAGAGTGCGTTGCAGTAATCCAACCGGGATGTGACAAGAGCGTGGACCACCGTGGCCAGATCTGGCTTCTCAAGGTACGGGCGCAGCTGGCGCACAAGTTTTAATTGTGTGAAAGCTCTCCCGGCCACCGCTGAGACCTGGGGTTCCAGGCTCAGCGATGAGTCCAGGATCACTCCCAAGCTGCGAACCTGCGTCTTCAGGGGGAGTGTAACCCCGTCTAACACAGGCTGTAACCCTATGCCCTGTTCGGCCTTACGACTGACCAGGAGACCTCTGTCTTGTCTGGATTCAATTTCAATTTGTTCGCCCTCATCCAGACCGTCACAGCAGCCAAGCACCGGTTCAAGACCTGGACAGGCTCCTTAGTAGCAGGTGGAAAGGAGTGACAGAGTTGGACATCATCCGCGTACAGATGACACTGTACTCTGAAACTCCGAATGATCTCTCCCAACGGCTTCATGTAGATGTTAAATAACATCGGGGACAGAATTGACCCCTGTGGGACTCCACACAACAACGGTTGTGGGGTCGAACAGGTGTCACCCAATAACACCTTCTGGGTCCGTCCCTCAAGGAAGGATCGGAGCCACTGCAAAGCAGTGCCCCCGAGCCCCATGTCCATGAGGCGACCCAGAAGGATACCGTGATCGACGGTATCGAAAGCCGCTGAGAGGTCCAGCAGAACTAACAGGGACACACTCCCCCTGTCCAGTTCCCTGCGAAGATCATCTACCAAGGCGACCAAGGCTGTCTCAGTTCCATGTCCCGGCCTAAAGCCAGACTGTGCCGGATCCAGATAATCAGTGTCTACCAGAAACCCCTGGAGTTGTGTTGCCACCATACATTCCATGACTTTGCCCAAGTAGGGAAGATTGGAAACTGGCCGATAGTTGTCGAACCAAGTAGGGAAGATTGGAAACTGGCCGATAGTTGTCGAATTGAGTGGGATCCAGTGATGGTTTCTTCAACAGCGGTTTTATAATAGCTTGTTTTAAGCTCGCTGGAAATTTTCCTTCCTGTAAGGAGGCATTGACCATCACCTTCACCCACTCTGCCAAACCCCCTCTGGCTTCCTTGATCAGCCAGGATGGGCAGGGGTCTAGGATGCATGTGGTGGGTCGCACCTCTCCAAGGATCCTGTCCACATCCTCAAGCTGAACCAATTGAAATGAATCCAACAAAACTGGACAAGCAGATGCTCTCGTTACATCCCCAGAGACTGCCGTTAACATGACGTCGAATCCAGACCGAATCCGCTCAATTTTATCCGCGAAGGATCGAGCAAATGCTTCACAGCGAGCCACCGAGTTGTCCGAGGCCTCGCTTTTTGGCGGATTTAACAGGCCCCTGACAACTCAGAAAAGCTCCGCTGGACGATTCTTCGCTGATGCAATATTGGCTGTGATGAATGTTTTCTGAGCTGCCGTTATTGCCACACCGTAGGACCTTAAAAAGGCATTCAGGTGTGTTTGGGCTGGATTGGTGGGGTTCTGGCGCCACACGCACTCTAACCTCCTCTTCTTTCGCTTCATCGCTGCCAGCTCCTCAGTAAACCAAGAGGCTGGTTTAGCTCGGTTACTCGAGAGGGGGCGTTCCGGAGCGATAGTGTCAATTGCCCTGGTCAACTCATTATTCCAACGAGAGACCAGAGCATCGACAGTATCACTAGCCAAGTATCACTAGCCAAGGAGGTGTCCATTTGGATCCATAAGTCTCCTGGGGCGGACCATTCTAATGGGTCCCCCACCCCTGCGGAGGTTAGGAGGCCCAGTTAGTCTAAATCTGATCAGGTGGTGATCGGTCCATGGCAACGGAGTGATGGTCGGCTCCTCCATCCCGTCACCCTCATCCCATCCCTGGACAAAAACCAAATCTAAAGTGTGCCCGGCACACCAATGACATAAAAAGTTACATAGATATGGGATGCATCTGAAATGAAAGAAGCATGAGGCACCCTATGAAATTTTCCTCAGATTTCTAGCTTTGCAGAGTGTGAAACAATGAGAATAATTCACACCTAGAATTCACGTTTTCTATGTTGACATTCTTTTAGTAATGTTGTCTCCCTCGTTTCTTTGGATAGCCAGACTGTTTTTAAATGCTCAACTAAAGATTTAAGTGAGTATAATACTAGAAATTTGGGGAAATTGCCTTTGGGGGCAGAACAATTATTTTGGGGTGGAGCAACCCCTATTTTTTGCGCCTTCCCCATATTTACACCACCAAGTCTATGCAAACAAAGCTGGAAATTATTAAGAAAAATAAGTAGCTACAGTGATAGAAAAGGGAACCATGTGTTCAAATTAAATGTAATGAATGGTAATGATTCCTTGGGAAAAGGTTTATTTTGGATCCTCATGTGCAAGTGCAGATGTTGTAACTCTGTACAGCAATACCAATGCAATAAGTGTACATTCAGCTCTTGAAAGCATCTTTTTTTAAAATATAAACTTTGGTAAGTGTTGAGAACATTCAGAAGTACTCCATCTGTTCTGATTTTTTTATGAAGTAAGTGTATTATTGATTTGCAAACATTCCAAAATTCCCAAAGTATATGATTTGGGAAACACCTGTCCAATTTTTTCTCCCTTTGTACACATTTAATTCCTATATGCTACATTTCTTTTTGACATGTTTAAATACAACTGGAACTGAGCCCTAGTTCAGCTGAATCTCCTGTGTACTTGGCAGCCCCTAGGCACCTAAGTACACATTTTCTTCTTCTTTCCATGTTTTTCCTTCATATAACCTTTTGAGACAGAGGTTGCATTAGGAACAGCTCTTTTCTTTTGAAATGGTAGTAGTAGGAAAGCTATGGAGGATTGAAAAGTTAAAGGCCCTAGGTTAGATAAATCCAAGTATATGATAGTTCCATCAGCCATTTTCCAAATGATGATTTCCCAATTATTATAGTTTTTTTTCTTTTTGGGGAAATGCTAGTTTATCTCTACAAGTCATGCATAACCTGCTTTTTTCATTGCATATTAGACATGTGCATTCAGAGTAAACTTTGTCCCATTTAGTGTCCTGGCTTTCATTGGGGCCTCCAATCCATTTTTTGCAAGGCTCCTGAAATTGGGAGGGGTTGTTTTCGCTTTTTTCATTTTAGGGCCTGATAACCGGACCACCCACTGGCTCCCTTTCCTGGTGTATGTTCTTCTTACCTGGCACCTGCTGTTTCTACTCTAGAGTAAGAGGTGCTTGACTGTAGGTACTGGCAGGCATCTATGCTTTCTGGGCCTGCTTACCTGAAGGCCATGCACCACTCTCATTTGAAAGATTGTGTGTGTGTGTGTGTGGTGGGGCATGATGCAGGCAGGTCCTGATAGTATGTGCACCTGCCAGTGTCTGCATGTCCCGCCACACATGCCCTGCCACAAACTCTGAGAGTGCATGTATGGCAGAGTGTGCCAAGCGCTGCGCCTGCCTGCCTGCACACCCCACCACATTCACTCTCTTTCCAAGGCAAGGAGGCAAGTTTGGATGCACATGAAAGCAGGCTTTCATGTTGAGCAGATTTTTGTGTGGGAGGGGTTTCATGTTTTGTGGTTCTGAAGAAACATGAAAGAAACAGTAGAAATGGTAGGAACAAATTTCGCACACATGTCTATTGCATTTCACTTTTCTAATGCAGATTCAATTCATAAATGCAGCAAATGATCATTTTCAAAATGAAATCAGTATTTTAACAACTGAATTTTTTTCATTCAACTGTAAATTGGAGAAATTAGAAAAGACAGAAAAGTTTGAAGCACCATACCTGAAAACACCCATTTCCTTGGATTGTGTACATAATTCAGTTATAGTAACAAAAGGATTTTCTTGAGAACTAGCCCCAAATGAGCAGCCTTTACTGACAGTAGAAAGATAATGAATGCCTTTTGTCAGGGAGATTTATTTGGAGAGCTATCTTAAAAGACGAATTAAAAATCAAATCAGAAAACTAGATGGATTCACCGTTGGTTTATCTTATTGATGTACAGGGGTGCTTTGCTGTCATTTTCCTCAGAAAGTTAGTGGTAATAAAGACTTTGAGAGGTATGCTGGAGCAAGCATTGTGCTTCCCAAAAAGTCATGCAGGTAAAGTACAGTGAATGGCCACACTTCAGTAGAGTTTATCTGGTGCACATTTGGAACACTGCCATGGGCAACCTCTTTCATCCTTGTTTTCTAGCTTTGTAGTTATTTTGAGGAGCATTATAAATATAAAAATCACAAATTTCATAAAAGAAATTCCAAGAAATAATTCTGTTTCTCCTTTCTTCAACAGAGATTATGATACAAACCAAATTAATTATATGTATGCTCAATATGTCAAGAACACCATGGAGCCTCTTAACATTCCAAATATTCGCCAAGACAAGAGATTTCCTTGGACAGTAAGTAACATGTGCCTACACTTAGAAGCTGAGGACTTGTTTGCATGTCTGCCCCAATAACAGAAAGTATTGTGTGACTTCTATTGCACTCTTAAGGAACTTTGAATAGTTATGATGTATGTATTTATGGTAGCCCTTTAATAGTAATTTCAGTCTTTGCTCTGTAGATAACCACTTTGTTCATGGGACCCAGCCTGTCTACCTAAGCATCTTCTATTTTTCCTCTACTTGTTTGCCAGTTGAAGACTTGATACAGTTCTTCTCCGGCCCCTTCTACACTGTCCTATATCCCAGGATCCAGTTCAAAGCAGATAATCTGGGATCAGATCCTGGGATGTAGGGCAGTGTAGAAGGACCTTACTGTGTCTGTGTCTGTGTTAAATTACTCCATGGTAAAATCACAGCTCACAACCACTCTCTTTGACCTGTTTCTGCCTGATTCAGAAGGTGCTAGACTGGGATAGGTAGACTGATTGACAACAACTACAAGACTGCAGATGACTAATGAGTTTAGGACATTGGTATCATGACATGGTTTATTTAATATGTTTCAATGTTTTGTACTTATACTTCAATATATATGGGTAAATTGATTGCTATTATTGAATAACTTGGATCTCAGATGTTGCATTTATCATATTTAAGTAGAGTAACAAAACTATTGCTGCTTTCCCCCCATAACAGAATGAAAGCACAGATCAGAATATTGAAAGTTTACTGTGCACACCAATCAAGAATGGAAAGAAGAATAAAGTGATAGGTACAATACTTTGAGATTCACCCCTCTCTCATTATTATTTTGTTTCAGTTAGTGTGCCTGAAATATACGTATGTTGTTGCAAATAAGTTGCGAAGTCCTGATACAAATTTATTTAGTAATGCAAAGTATCATATTTGGAATTGGAGTGCATTTAAATTCATATAACAGACCTTATTTCCAAGAGATGGTTTAGATAAAAATGCTTGTTTGTGTAAAACAAAAAAAGTAGTTATAGGCAATAATGCCATTGCACTAGTACAGGCATGGGCAAACTTCAACCCTCCAGATGTTTAGGACTTTAATTCCTATAATTCCTAACCACTGGCTGGCTGTTAGGAATTTTATTTACTTACTTACTTACTGCATTTCTGTGCTGCCTTTCTCAGCCCAAAGGTGACTGAAGGTGGCTTACACTGGCACAATTTGATGCCACAATGAACATAACAAAATTAAAAACAATTAACACACATTATAAAAAAAAATCTGTAAAAGCATTAAAAGCATAAAACAACAGTAACTTTCTATTAGCTCATTTTGCAAAAACATTATCTATTAGCTCATTTTGCAAAGCTGTTCCATGTTCATTCTTTCCTGGGTTCCATGTTCATGCTTTCCTGAATTCCTCAATCTATTACACTGCGTTTTCAAAAGCTAGTTCAAAAAGCTAGGGGTTTTTTTTTTGGATGGTCAGTAGGGAGGGGGCCAATCTAATATCCCTAGGGAGGGAGTTCCATAGCCAAGGAGCCACCACTGAGAAGGCCCTGTCTCTCGTCCCCGCCAGGCATGCCTGCGACGAAGGCAGGATCAAGAGCAGGGCCTCCCCAGAAGATCTTAAATTTCTAGCTGGTTCGTAGGGAGAGATACATTCAGACAGGTAGGCTGGGCCGTGACCGTTTAGGGCTTTATAGGCTAAAGCCAGCACTTTGAATTGTGTCCGGTAGCAAAACTGGCAGCCAGTGGAGCTGGCGCAACAGAGGAATTGTGTGGTCCCTGAACGCTGCTCCTGTTAGCAACCTGGCTGCTGCCAGTTGAACCATTTGAAGCTTCCGAACAGTCTTCAAAGGCAACCCCACATAGAGCGCATTGCAGTAGTCTATAAGGGATGTAACCAGAGCATGGACTACTATGGGAATTAGAGTCCAAAACACCTGGAGGGCCAAAGTTTGCCCATGCCTGCACTAGTAAGTTGTACAAGTTAAGGAACCTAATTGTTGCTGCTTTCCTCTTCTCATTGCTGCTCACCATATCCTAAACTAGAGCTTCTTAAGCTCTTTTGACTTGCGATCCCTTTTTAACTGAGAAATGTTTATGAGACCCCAAAGAATGGAGGGAGGGGGAAAGAAGAGGGGGGGAGGAAGGAAGACAGAGAAGTATCAAGAAAGAGGGGGGAGTAGAAAGAGATGTGCAGAAGAGAAAGATAGAAGGGAAGGCAGGGCTTCCCCGGAAGATCTCAAAGTCCTTGATGGTTTATGAGATAAGTGATAAGACATTTCTTTTTTATCACTTTCCCCATCATATCCCCTGTTACTCAATGTCTTAAGCCTTTGTTTTTATGGAATAATGTTCATCTTTTAGTATCTGCACATTGTATAATTTCCCGCTCCCAGTTATTTGGGAGGGGGATATCACAACCCTCTGCCTGTAGGAAGATACCCCTTCCTCTCTCCGATGTTATAACAGCATGTGATTGAAACCTTTATGGTCCTTTCGCAGCCTTTGAAGTACCCACTCATCTGTGCCAAGCTAGAATTTATTCCAGCGGGGATGATGAGAGAAAAGTGTTCAGATCAGCAAAGTGAGAGGCTGAGATCCTTTTTGCTGATCATACCATATATTGAGATGCTTGATGCGTGTTTTTGATGACAGGCCAGCTGAGAACTGTTTTGGTCTTGTTTATTAGGCTTTTCCTTTTTCATGTGTTATAAATATTTCCTAATGGGGATTTGGCGTTTTGTCTAGTTGGATGAACCTACCGCTGGATCATGAATAACACAAGGAAAACATTCTGCTTAGAGAGACTTTGTTGGAAATGAATCATGGAGCATTTGTTCTGTGAGTCTATTGCTCATATAGATTGCAGGTAATTGGTAGGATGCAAGGGTACATTTCTATATGTGAAGAGTACCTTGCATTTAGGAAAGAGTTATGTGAGAAAAATTAAACACGTTTAGAATGTATTCTTTTTCATTCCCCACCAGAAATTATGTTCTTATACAGCCTTCCCATTACACTCTGTGTGTGTGTATGTGTGTGTGTGTGTGTGTGTATTTGGAAGAGGACAGTATACGCAAAAGGCACCAGAAGGAGTCTACCTGGGGACATACTTGTACATAGCAGATGGTCTATCGACTCATGAACCAGCAGTATTTTCTATTTAGTTAATTTACAAAACATTCTGGCCTCTTTTCAAGTAAGGAAGTGCATGCTCTGTGTACCATTAACCTGACATTCATTATAGTTCTTCTGGCAGGCTTACAAAAATCTAATTAGTTTGCAAAGGACAAATTGTCTTCAGGGATTACATGAGACCAAAGAACTATTAATAAAAGTCAAGAGGAAAAATTGAGTCAAAGAATTGGGAGAAGTTGGAAAGAATACGCATGGTTCCGTCTTTTGGTGGAGATTTTAATTAGTAAATACTTCGACACTTATAAGTGAATATCTGGTGATGAATGTATATATTAATGAACACAAGAGTTACCTTTTTTGGAATACAGCTGTAAGAAATCCATAGACAGTGCAGAGATTAAGATCTTCTGGGGAGGCCCTGCTCTCAGTCCCGCTTCCTTCACAGACATGGTGGGTGGAAATGAGAGACAGGGCCTTCTCAGTGGTGGCCCTTGTTGGATCATGCAAGCAATCAGTGTATGTGTGTCAACTGTAAAATAAGATGCATGAAGCTGATTGGTTGGGCAATGCATGGAGTGATGGCTGAGCCTGGGGACTTTTGGATACTGTTGCAATTTTGTTCAGGCTCAAACTTCAAAGAGACTGTTAAGAAGAGATAAAGAGAGAAGAAGAGACAGACAGACTGATTTGCTTCTTGGCTGCTGAAAAGAAGGTCTCTCATATGGACAAAGAAATACAGTTTTAAATCTCTCTGAAAGGACATTTAGTGAGTTGATGCAACTGATCATATTGTACATATGTTTTTCTGAATTAAGAAGAGTAAACTACTTGTTCTTCACTGTTCACATGCGTGGCATATTTTTGTTTCTCTGGCAATCATACGTGAACTACACATGGTTTACTTTACGCCACAACCCCTCCGCTGTGGAACTCCCTCCCCAGTGATATTAGTTCAGTCCCCTCCCTCCTGACCTTCAGGAAGAAAGTGAAAACATGGCTCTGGGACCAAGCCTTCGAAGAATAATTGTAGTGCAATAGATGGATATGGAATATGTGCAATGACTACTGGAATGCCCTGGCTTACAATTGCTGATGGAGTGATTGTAATAGTTGATGTAATGTTTGAAGTGTTCAAACATTACATCAACTATCACAATCACTCCATCAACAATTGTAAGCCAGGGCATTCCAGTAGTCATGTGGTTTTAATTTAAATGTTTATTCTTAATTGTATGTTGTTTTATGGCATTGAATAGTTGCCCACATGTAAAGCCACCTTGAGTCCCCTTTGGGGTTGAGAAGGGCAAGGTATAAATATGGTAAATAAATAAATAAATATTATAGGTTGGTAAGGGATTCTGGAAGATGTAATCCCCAAAATGTGGTGTTTCAAGCTTTGATAGAATTTAAGCTTAATATCAGGACCTTTCAAAGGGTGTAACTGAACATATATTTATTACAATATCCATGTTTTTATTTATTATTTCTTAAAATATATCAATTATGCCCTCTAAAGATCTCAGGGAGATCTTTACATGCTTTCCATTTTGAACGAAAAACTTTGAACTGCAATCTTTCAACTAAATATCTAATTATGTGAAAAGCACACTAACTGTCTTATATAGGTTAAAGCTTAGCACTTACTTTTTAAAAAGCTACTTTTCATTTTCATTTTGGTTAATGATCTAGGAGTATGCCAACTGGCAAATAAGATGGAGGAAAATTCATGCAAAATAAAAGCATTCAACAGAAATGATGAGCAGTTCCTCGAAGCTTTTGTCATCTTCTGTGGCTTAGGCATCCAGAACACGCAGATGTACGAAGCTGTGGAAAGAGCCATGGCGAAGCAGATGGTGACATTGGAGGTGAGGCTAAATCAAAGCAGCCTTTATGTTGCTCACAGCTGCTTCTTTCCTGGAATTCTCTTAAGACAACCCAGGCTTGGCTCTGTGATCAGCTCAGGATCTTTCTCCCCTTATTTATTTATTGCTTGCTTATGCATCTCCATGTACATATATGGCATGTGTTGGATTGCTGTGCTAATCTCCTGAGATTCTGTAATGGAGACAGATGTTGCCTTCTATAAACATATTGCATATTGGAGGAGTGATTGATGTAGTTGGTTATGTTGTTGCATAGAAAAAGGATGTGGTTATGGGATTGGGACATCCTCCTCTTCTTGCTTGAGGTTTTCTGTGATGATTTTGGCTCAATCCTTCAAACAAACCAGTACCTGGAGCTACACCAAGATTATGGCAGGCTTCCTCTAACTTCATCACACCATATCAAGCATGAACATCATCTCGTCCTTGCCTTTGAATTGGTTACTGTTAGTTTTAATGGCCATGGTATGAATGGACAGTCTGGTAAGGGATTCAGGTTTACACTTATCTTCCAAAGTCATCTAGAAACATATGTTTCTGTTGGTCTTAGGAACACTTTTGGCAGAGAAGACTGAAGATCTCTCCACCTGTCATTTTCTTCCTTTTTGGAAACAGTTGGCGAATATATGTTTTCTGAAACCCCCTCATGGTCCCCTCCCAGGGGTTCTGCTGGATTAAGCAATGTCTGATGTAGCCAGCACAAGGGTTTAACCCAGGGGTCCTCAAACTTTTTAAACAGAGGGCCAGGTCACAGTGCCTCAAACTGTTGGAGGGCCGGATTATAATTTGAAAAAAAGCATGAATGAATTCCTATGCACATTGCACATATCTTATTTGTAGTGCAAAAACACTTTAAAAAGCAATACAATAATTAAAAAGAACAATTTTAACAAATATAAACTTATTAGTATTTCAATGGGAGGTGTGGGCCTGCTTTTGGCTGCTGAGATAGGATTGTTGTTGTTGTTGTTGTTGTTGTTGTGTACTTTCAGGTCGTTTCAGACATAGGTTGACCCAGAGTGAGGGCTGGGTAAAAGACCTTGGAGGGCGGCATCTGGCCCTTGGGCCATAGTTTGAGGACCCCTGGTTTAACCCATTGCACCATGAGTGGCAGATCCTGTAAAGTGGTAGGAGATGTTGAGGGAAAGAGTTGTGTGCTGAGCAGACTGCCTTGCTTCCCTGAGGTTGTTAACTTGAGCAAATTACAGGGAAAGGTCAACCCCCTTGTTTAAACAGCTCCACTGGCTGCTGATAAGTTTCCGGTCTCAATTCAAGGTGCAGGTTATCACCTATAAAGCTCTAAACAGTTCTGGACATGCTTATCTTTGTGACTGCATTTTCCCCTATGAACCTGCACGATCTCTAAGATCTTCTGGGAAAGCCCTCCTTTCGTTCCCACCTCCGTCACAAGTGTGGTTGGTGGGGACAAGAGAGAGGGCCTTTTCGATTGTGGCCCCCCAGCTTCACAAGTTGCTTCTGGTGTGAAATAATTGGTCATCTCAAGGACATTGCCCAGGGGATGCCCAGATATTTTACCATCCTGTCAGGCTTCTTTCATGTCCCTGCATGAAAAATAAGCTGATCGACAGGAGCTCATCTTGCTCCTTGGATTTGAACACCAACCTTTTGGTCAGTAGTTCAGTCAGCACAAGGGTTTAACCCGTTGCACCACCAAGGGCTCCAAGAAGGTGTTGAAAACTGCTTTCTTGTCAGCTTCAGTAATTCATGGAACTTGTCTCTCCTTGTAAACGCTGTGCTGAACTAATGTTTCAAATTGTATCTTACAAAATTTCTTTTTATGTGGTTTGAGGAGAGTTGTCTATAAAAGGAAACTGATGAATACCTCATATAGATTAGCAAAATGTTTGGGACTGGGTTTTTATTTCGTTATTATAGAGGTAGAAATGACAACTGATTTGTGTCCTGCATGATTGCCAATGCAGATTTGTTACCAAATTCACTGTGAGATTTCAGATACCCAAAAGATCACATTTCTCTTCTTGCTAACAATGAATCATCAAGCCTTGGTCAGGACTGATAGTGCTTATCTGCACATTAGTTTACAGCACCCAGCTAGATGCATGTTGAAACAGTATGCTAGCAGATGGCGAGAGAAGCAAAATCTGCTGGTTCCAAGAAGCCTATTTTTTAGCACCTTCACTGTCACTGTGCTTGTGGCTTTTTTTCTTCTGTTATCGCTGTCTAATATGGCATGCCAAGACTGGCACCATACACTCAACTAAATATTACCTGTATCAGCAGGAATTGCTATTCACCAAGGGGAGGGCTGTTTCTGAGGCTCCAGGCTGAAAGGGGAGAGCAGGCACGTGCAGGTACAGCTGTACCAGGAGCTCCAATTTTGTTTCCTTTGCATTTAATGTTTGTTATAGTCCTAAGTTTCAGGGACTCTGCAGATAGGTGGCTTCTTTTGGCTGCAATCATAGGGCAAGCCACCTGTCAATTATAGTTAGGTTCCCTGGTCCCGCCCCTAAAAGTTGTGGCTTGAGACGGGGGGGAAGGGAGCACAATGGTGGGAAAAAAGGGGGGGAAATGCTTAAGCAGAATAATAATACTATATGTTAAAGAGTGTGTTGAATAATATGTAACTGCTATAACAAATGTATAACAAATGTAATAACTATGATAAAACAATAAAAATACTTTAAAAAACCAAACAAAAACATACATTTTGAAAGGATTTTATATTTGTACATGTTTTGTTTTTCTTTAGGTCCTTTCTTACCATGCTTCAGCTGCTGACGAAGAGGCGAGGGAACTTCAGGTAACAGCGGTAATTACATTTTTCTTCTACTACTACTATTGTATTATGGTTATAATAACTCTTCAGTCGATGTACAGTTAGAACACTTTTACTCACATTTTGGAAACAACTCCTATGTTAGGAACTGACTGTTCAGAGTTGCCTAATTCCATCTCAGTGTTTGACTACAGATTATATCCCCCTCCCATTATTATAAGTAGAGAGGGGGGAGGTTATAAGAGTTGGTTTCATTTGAAAATTCAGGATAATAAACTTATTCTTGACTTTATGTTAAAAGAAAGCAGACTTTCTAATATGTAGTAATGGAAGATTTCATAGACTGTTTTTGCTGGCAGTCTAAAATAGCTCCAAACCAAATCATACTATTATTATTTTGTTTATGTTTATTTATACCCTGCTATTTTTCTCCACAAATAAGACTCAACACAGCTTACATTAAAAGCATTTCAATTCAATTTAAAATCCAAAAACATACAAACATTAAAATAGAACAAGACATCAGTGGTATTAATTAAAAGTTACGAGTTAAAACCCTTAAAACTGATTTAAGACATTTTCAGATGCAATGTTTTTGAAAAACATTCTTGGAGTTTTTACCTTATCCATGCTCAACATTTCAGAGTCACATAGCTATTGAAATCATCTCCATTCACTTAACAGTAAACAAGTGATTCTAAAAGCAATCTTCCTATGCTAGTGGTTAGTTAAATTTGGTAGCAAATATTAATCATGTAGACACAATAAAACTTTGTCTAAAGCCACTGATTTTCAATCAGCCTGCTCCATAGCTTAAGCTCAGATTTAGTAGCAGCCATTAGTAATCAGGTTTATAAAAATAATGGCCATTTGTTTGCTTTCTTCCTCTGCCCCCTCCCCAAAAAAGTGCTTCCTCCACTTCTGAAAGATATACTTCCTTGCATTTCAAATGTGTAGTTAAATTAATTCATGCAATGACTATAAGTGAAAGGACTTATACCATCCAAATACAAGTAAAATTTATACTATTAGAGCGGCTTTCTGTTCAGCAGCTTTTTTTCTTAATCTAACATATTATTATTTTGGTTGTCCACAAGGAAAGTTGCTCATGCAGTGAAACCTTTCTGTTTGCCTACTGATTGGGCAAGATGGATGGATGGATGGATAGTATCTTTGAAGTGACTGGCTTGACTTTGAAGGAGCTGGGCTGGCCATGGCTGACAGGGAGCTGTGGCGTGGGCTGATCTATGAGGTCATGAAGAGTCAGAAGTAACTGAACGAATAAACAATAACACAAACTGAATGTCCTCTTCTCCAGTGAGGCCACTTCAGAAAGTGGGGACACTGTGGAAGTGTGTGGGATGTAGCCTGGCAAGCTGCAGTAGGAGTGGGATTTTTGGCACATGGCATCTCCTGCCCCACTGCTGCCTCCCTTCATGTCTAATGAAGGCTATTCTAGAGGATTCCTTATTGCCCTGAAATGATTTTGTGTGTGATGGGAAAGTGGGAAAATCATGCTATGTGAGTAATCTTATTCTTGTGCAACTCTGAATCCAATGCACTGTCTTCATAGACACATCAAAGAAAGAAAATTTGCTTAGTAAATAGGATAAACTATTCTAAAATCACTACTGACCGAGAGGTCATGAGTTCGAAGCTAGCCCCAATTGGACTGAGCTTCCGGCCATCTGTCTAGCTTGCTGTCGACCTTTGCAGTCTGAAAGACAGTTGCATCTGTCAAGTAGGAAATTTAAGGACCGCTTATGCGGGGAGGCTAATTTAACTAATTTACGACGCCATAAAACTCTCTAACAGCGTGCAAAGAATGAGGAAGTACTCCATCAGTACCACAATGAATGGTGAAGTGACAGCTCCCCTGGTGGCTGGAATTCAAAAAGCATACCCTTATGAAGCTGGAATGTTAAATAGCCTCTGTGTCTCTGTCTATATACGTTGTGTGCCTATGGCATCAAATGTTTGCCATGTATATGTGCATTGTGATCCACCCTGAGTCCCCTGTGAGTGAGAAGGGTGGAATATAAATGGTGTAAATAAATAAATAAATAAATAAATAAATAAATAAATAAAGTGCTGACTTCTTTGTCCAATAGCAAATTGACCACCATCCCTGTTTTCTTGGATTTATTTGTCCATACATGAGAAGTGACAGTGTCCTTGTGTCCATATATGAGAGGACTATGTATCAGACTGGAGAATGTGAGTGGCAAGAACTCGATTGTGTATGCCAGTGGTTCTCAACCTGTGGTTCTCCAGGTGTTTTGGCCTACAAATCCCAGAAATCCCAGCCAGTTTACCAGCTGTTAGGATTTCTGGAGTTGAAGGCCAAAACATCTGGGGATCCACAGGTTGAGAACCACTGGTGTATGCACATTAAACTGAAAGTGGTAGAGACTGTGGTCTAACTGAGGAGTTGAGGAGCAAAGTACATGTTGTGGTTTCTTTCTTGCTATATAGCCTAATTACACCTTCTATGTCATTCTTGCACATGCAACAAAGCACACACCACATTCAGGAATTGACATATTGGTCCACAGAATATGCAAATAGAAAATTGATATGTAGAATAGCTTCTACAGCCAATACATCTTTAAATTAAAATTGCACTGTTAGAGACACATAGTTTCTAGCCTTATGATAAGTGTCTTTAACTACAGAAGATAAAGTTTGGTTCAGGATATTTAAAATAACTGGCATGTTATCAACTTATTGAAAATACAGCCCTTTTCATACTGATAGGGTAGCAAAGACGAAATAGCTTTTACGGCTCAAAATGTGATCACTGATAACTTGATTATAGTGGGAAAAAATTCACATTGTTCACATTGATGTCTGGGTAAGCTTTCAGAGGTCTATGTATGGACCAAAACTCTGCATTTATTGCATGTGGAGAATTGCAACTTGATTATGTGCTGCATTTTTGTTCTTTGTTTTTTTGTATGGGGCTTGCATTTCGAAAGAAGATGGTTTCATTTTATCTTACATGCCATTGTATTTTGCTTCCTTCAAGGCTGCTGTTGTCCCATCTGCGCAATCTCTTGGGCTCACTGATTTTTATTTCAGTGACTTTGAGCTCTCAGATATGGAGACTTCTCTGTGCACAATCCGAATGTTCACCGATCTTAATCTGGTGCAGAATTTCCAGATGAAACATGAGGTGAGAATCTTTTAGTATACAAGGAGTGACCATTTACATGTGGCAAATACGTTTAACATTAAATTAGGCAATAAAAATGTGTGTTGTTGAAGGCTTTCATGGCCAGAATCTCTGGGTTACTTGATTTTTCCGGCTGTATGGCCATGTTCCAGAAGCATTCTCTCCTGACATTTTGCCCACATCTATGGCAGGCATCCTCAGAGGTTGTGAGGTCTGTTGGAAAATAGGCAAGTGAGGTTTATATATCTGTATAATGTCCAGGGTGGGAGAAAGAACTCTTGTCTGCTTGAGGTAAGTGTGATCAAGATTCTGGGGAACAAGCCCTATGAGGAGCAGCTTAAAGAGCTGGGTGTGTTTATCCTGCAAATGAGAAGGCTGAGAGAAGACATGATAGCCATGTATAAATATGTAGGGGATGCCATAAGGAGGAGGGAACAAGCTTGTTTTCTGCTGCCCTGGAGACTAGGACTCGGAACAATGGCTTCGAACTACAGGAAAGGAGATTGCACCTGAGCATTAGGAAGAACTTCCTAACTGTGAGAGCTGTTCAGCAGTGGAACTTTCTGCCCTGGACTGTGATGGAGGCTCCTTCTTTGGAGGCTTTTAAAACGAGGCTGAATGGCCATCTGTCAGGGGCGCTTTGAATATGATTTTCCTGCTTCTTGGCAGGGGGTTAGAAACTGGATGACTCATGAGGCCTCTTCCAACTCTATGATTCTATGAATGTTAGAAATTTGGTTAGTCTGATGTTGTTGAGCTGCTACTCCTAACATCCCCATCACTGCCTCTTCTAGTTAAGGCTGGTAATATTTGTACTTCAGCAATATCTGGAAAGTTGCACAGTTCCCATCCCTGGTGCAAATGCATTACATCTGAACAGCCATTGAACAATAACTTTCAACATATTCATGAGAAAAATAAATCTCATCATCATCAATTTTTTTTGAGTGCTTTGCTTAGTCAGGGAACACACTCACATTTGGTGAGACTAGTTGAGAAGCAATGCCTGACCATAGGATATACTTAAGTCTGTTAGAAGGCTGTTTCTGTCTGGTCTTAGTATTATGTTTCAGATCTCTTTCTATTGACAAATTAAAATAAAAAAAACCCTTAAGATTCCATGTAGAAATATAAATACCAAATTCTAAATCCAATTTTAATCCCTGCTAAATAAAGCCATTTAAATGAATGGGATTTCTAGGTCAACAGTAAAGTATGCCCCATTGATTTCAATAAGTCAGTCTGTAATTGGCACTAAAATTGGATTTAGTCCTGAACAACACAGGCTAATATAAATTATGACTGAAGACATGCTTCCTAAAACGATTTTGAAAATTAAGGAGTCCTAATGGGCTGGATGAAGACAATTTTTGTAAACAAAACTTTCATGAGCTGAATCCAATTTTAATCTCAACTGGAGTAAACTCACTGAAGTGAAAGTGACTTGATATAATGTGTGTGTGTGTGTGTGTGTGTGTACACACACACACACACACACATACATACATACATATATAATTTCAGAAGTATAGTAAGCATAACATGTTGTGATAAACATTACCAAACTACATCCAAAATATATCAGACCCATTTTTTTATATCAGGAGTAACTTGAGAAACTGCAAATTGCTTCTGGTGTGAGAGACTTGGTCGTCTGCAAAGACATTGGCCAGGGGACCCCTGGATGTTTTGATGTTTTACCATCCTTGTGGGAGGCTTCTCTCATGTTCCTGCATGGGGAGCTGGAACTGACAGAGGGAGCTCATCTGCACTCTCCCTGGATTTGAACCTCTGAGCTGTCAGTCTTCAGTCCTGCAGACACAAGGCTTTAACCCATTGCGCCACCGGGGGCTCCTATCAGACCCAATAAGATTATATTAAAGGATTGCATGTATTGTAATTCTCCATTAATTACTTTTGAGTCAAAATGTATCATTTCCATGAAGATCTTAAGAAAACCATGTGATAGATATGCCATAGTGATGATGAGTGGAAGTTGAATCTGTAAAGGCAGATTGAAATATGATGTAATTCTAACTGACCCATTGATTCTTTTTAAAGGTTCTTTGCAGATGGATTTTAAGTGTGAGGAAAAATTATCGGAAAAATGTTGCCTATCACAACTGGAGGCATGCGTTTAACACAGCCCAGTGCATGTTTGCCGCTTTAAAGTCAGGGAAGATTCAGGTATGCTAGAATATATATGTTTCTTTACGTCCTTCAAAGATTCTGTTAGATATTGGTACACCACATCTAAAGGTCTTTATTAAGGGCTTGTTTATAGGAGTCAGAAATGTCATCTCCTGTGAATCTCTGAGAACACAGTTTTGTGAAAATTGCCTCTTTAAACTTGAAGTCCATAACAAAAACTCCAATATCTATATTCATGTAGTGTCTTTACCACTCTAACCAAAAGACAAATCAAAAGGATTATAAAGCTATCTTATTGGTCACTGTTTGGAAAGATTCTTGATGTCCCCGGAAACTCCCCAGTTTGCATTTCTATCATTCATCAAGTTCTGGGCATGCATGAAACAGAAGCTGAATAGACATGAGTATATTGAATCATATGAAGATACCACTGTGTCAGGGATGGAGTTGACCCTGCAGATGTTTTGGCCAACAAATCCCATGATCCTTTACCATTAGGCATGCTGGGTGGGATTGGTGGCAGTTGGAGGCCAAAACATCTCAAGTGAACCAAGTTGTTAGATCTGAGTTGGCATCAGTGAGTCAACTGACTTATTCTAACAGTGTTAGGATCCAATACGTATATGAAGCACAGCACAGCTGGTGATTAAGCAAACATGTCTCATTAGTGTTGGCAAGCTGTCCATGCCTGGAACATTCAGTTCAGCCCTATAGGAAATCAGAGGCCGACAAAGAGGTGGGCCACAAAAGGGAGAAAAACAAAGTTGAAGACCTCAATATACCAAACCATAATAAGCTTTTTCAGGTTCTGCCTAGTTTATTTTAAAGCTGTTTATTCAGTGGTAAGGTAAAATCAGAATATTTGAGATGATCATGAACTTTATTTAACTCTATTTAAATTTGTAACATGCTAAGTTTTGGTGCATTTTATATTCTGTATTGTTGGGCTGACACTAATGAGAACACAAAGTCCTGATGTAGGACTGTACAACAAATAGAGTTTTAGCAGTTGAGCAGCAGCTAGTATTCATAGTGGATATTACTTTTTATAAACCAAAAATGTGTTCATCTGTCCATTTACTTTCTGTTTAAATAAGCAAGTCAGATCTTGAACCAGATTTTTAGCAAAAGTAATCATATATTTTCCTGCATTTCATGATATACAGAACAAGCTTACTGACACTGAGGTGCTGTCTTTGCTGATCGCAGCACTGAGCCATGATTTAGATCATAGAGGGGTGAACAATTCTTACATACAAAGGTGAGTAAAGGATAACTTAGAGGAAAACAGATTGGGTTTGGGAGATATTTTCAGTCTCCACTTCAAGTTGGATGCAAAACGAATGTGCCTATCAGATGCAACTTCTTTTGGACACAATGAGGTATAAAGAGCACTGTAGTCATTGGGATGAATAATACACCATAATATATAGTTTAAAATGTTTATACAAGCAATATTCAAGATTTTTAAAAAAGTAGAACAACATATTCAGTTAAGTTGGGTCTTGTGGTGGCGCAGCTGGTTAAACAGTTGAGCTGCTGAACTTGCTGACCGAAAGGCTGGTGGTTCAAACCCGGGGAATGGGGTGAGCTCCCACTGTAAGGCCCAGCTTCAGCCAACCTAGCAGTTCATAAACATGCAAATGTGAGTAGATCAATAGGGACCGCCTTGGCGGGAAGGTAACAGCGCTCCATTCAATTATGTTGGACACATGACCTTGGAGGTGTATCTGGACAACGCTGACTCTTTGGCTTAGAAATGGAGATGAGCATCACCCCCCCAGAGTTGGACATGACTAGACTTAATGTCAGGGGAAACCTTAACCTTTACTATTCAGTTAATTTTTAATTGCTACATTTTCCAGAGTGTCTTACTGGATAAAAACAGTTTTTCACTTGTTTCTAAACCATGCATGCACATTATTGCATAATTGTATCATCATGAAGGGGAGCCTCTGATGGCTAAGTGGGTTAAATTACTGAGCTGCTGAACTTGCTGCCCAAAGGTTGACAGTTCGAATTCGGGGACCAGGATGAGTTTCCACTGTTAGCCCTAGTTTCTGCCAACCTAGCATTCGAAAACATGCATATGTGGGTAGATCAATAGGTACCGCTTCGGTAGGAAGGTAACGGTGCTCCATGCAGATATGCTGACCACATGACCTTGGAGGTGTCTACGGACAATGCTGGCCCTTTGGCTTAGAAATGGAGATGAGCACCACCTCCCAGAGTCAGACACGACTAGACTTAATGTCAAGGGGAAACCTTTACCTTTACCTTATCAGCATAAAAAGGACAATTAATGGGATTGAACTAGATGACTTGAGATCCTCTTTCCATTCTATGATGTTTGTGTGTTAAGATGCAATAGCAACATTGGAAAGCTTGGTCAATGGTGTAGTAGGTTACCTCTTGGGATTCTGTTATCCCTCAATAAAAATATCAGTCTAAGAGTATGCATGTTTCCCTCCTTCTCTTTATCTATAGTGAAGCCCCCAGTCACATAACCATTTTTGAGGCTGAACTGGTGGTCCCTGAGACGGTTAAAATTATTAAGTTATCATGGGAAGATAAAATAGATACAAATATAGCTCATAAGCTGCAACATTTGGAACGACGTTAAAGAGCATGTATGCTGTCTGAAGGAGGACTATTTTAGTTCAAATTGACTCATAGTATCCTCACAGCATGAGGAGCAAAGTAAGCCCTCTGTTCCCTCCTACTTATTCCAGCTCTTCTTTCATGCACATCCAGTAACCTGCAGATCAGTCAAGGGTGGAATCACCCTTGACTGATCTATGTGTGTGTGTTTAGGAATACATCATTTCTTGAAAAACATTTGGAGATTTACCTTCACCCTTTCAAGGACATCATGAGGAAATATTGCCAACAACAAAGCTCAACATTCATGCATGCCACAAAGCAGATTATTGTATTTTCACAACATTTCCCTTTTGGACTAAAACTGGTTATAGTGCTTTTTAAAAAGAATCTCTCAGGCTAGTGTATATAGGTTTAAAGAAGGATTAATGTTGTCCTTTGTGAGTTGTGAGAGTGAGGAAACTTGGGACACTTGGCTTCTTAGAAGCATGTTTTTGTTGTTTTGTGTGTGCCTACTAGGAATTATGTTTGCTTGATCAGAGGAAGTAAAAGGATTTAACTCTTCCAGTTGAAAGAGTTACTGTTTTGGACTGTGCAAGTTCCAGAATCAACACTCAAAAATTGATCCCCCACTAGATCTGATAAAATGTTCATCTAGTCCAATGCTGCTTACTACAACTGCCAAATCCCTTTAACAAGCTCAGAAGGAGGATGGGAAAATGATAGACATGCTTTGTTCCCAGAATCTGCTGATCAGAGATGAATGGCCTTTGAACCTGGACATTCCATTCTTAGCTTTCATGGATAACAATAGATCTATTTGTTGTTGTTTTGAGATTTTAATGCATAACATATGTTGCCTTTGTAGTGCAGGACTAGTGAGATCTTTAAACCAAATGCATGCATACCAAGGCAACTTTGAGAGCCCTTGGTACTGACAGAATAGCTGTCACTGAAAATTGACAGTAGCTGCCCAAGTCCCAGGGTTTGAAGAATGCGATTTTCTTGCTTCTTGGCAGGGGGTTGGACAGGATGGCCCAGGAGGTTTCTTCCAACTCTATGATTCTTCCCAAAGAGAGATGGCCCATTGTGTAGACTGACACAACTTAGAGTATGCTGCACCATTCTGCACTACCACAGAGAACCACTACAATTGTTTTGATGGTGTCTTAAGCCATAGCAACAATCACGGCTACTGGAGTAGTTGGAGTTTCAATCCCAGATAATTTCTTACTCCTGGGGTAACACGTGAATTGAGAACATAGGAATAGGAATTCTGGATCAGACCACTGGTCTGTTTAGTCCAGGGGTCCTCAAAATAAGGTGTGTGGGTTGAGTGCAGCCCTCCAAGGTCATTTACCCACCCTAAACTTCAGACCAGTGGTTCCCAATCTTTGATCCTCCAGTTGTTTTGGACTTCAACTCCCAAAAATCCTAGCCAGTTTACCAGCTATTAAGAATTGTGGGAACTGAAGTCCAAAACACTTGGAGAACCAAAGGAGAACACCGCTTTAGACTTAGGACCACCCTAAGTCTGAAATTACTTGAAGGCACACAACAACAACAACAACAACAACAACAACAACAACAACAACAACAACAATCCTAATTAACTTGACTGTTTCATCAGTCAAAAACTGGGATACACTTCTGACTGAAGAACTGGGATACACTTCTGACTGAAGTACTGATAAGTTTATATTGGTTAAAATTGTTCTTAATTTTAATAGTATTAGTATTTTGTATTTTTTTGCATCACAGATAAAATATGTGCAATGTACATAGGAAATCATTCATGCTTTTTTTTTCAAACTATAATCCAGCTCCCCAACAGTCTGGGGGACAGTGAACTGGCCCTAGGCTTAAAACGTTTGAGGACCCCAGTTTAGTCCATCATTCTATTCAGATGTACAAAAGAGTGGTTGATTACTATGCTTGTGAGAATCCCACAAGCAAGGCATGTGGGTGGCATCACCAAAATTAGGATGGGAAATAAGTATGTATTTCTTCTCTGAACTAGGACAATTGGAAGACAGGTCAGATTCCACTTAATTTGCCTCTGCTATTTTCGTTTTGAGACTACCCAAGTTATTGTAATTTTCCACTGTGCACTTGTCCTATCCACACAGGGCACAATGATACTTCTTTAAAAGTTCTATACTGAAGGTTAGGCTGACCTCAAGGACTTGCCTCTCGTCACCAAATCACACATGTTCATGCTAATGGCAATTGTTATTTGAAATCTCCACTATTCTCTCTGCCATTTTTCTTTTGTGGTGTCTACATAGTCCCAAACGTCAGGCAGTGTAAACATCATTATTTATGTTCATACACTTTATTTACAAAGTGGTCCTCTGAGCTTGGATGGTCAGCATGGATTGTTTCCAATAGTATGTTCACTTTTAAAACCAAAGCACAAGCTCAAGGACAGAACTTCAGAGGGTGGGGATGAAAAACTTGGTTCTGCAGTGAGATATATTTGATTAGCTACTAAGGAAGGGTGAAAAGCATGACTCCCTCAGAGAAATTGGTTATTGTATTAATGTAAACACTGTTTAATCAGTTTAGGAAGGAAATATATGTACCCCCATGTTAAGCTCTCTTAAAAGTTGAAAGCATCATATGATGTTTCCTCTTCATTTTTTTTCCAACTTATTTTCAGGAGTGAACACCCACTTGCACAGCTATATTGCCACTCGATCATGGAACATCACCATTTTGACCAGTGCCTGATGATCCTGAACACTCCAGTAAATGACACTCAGTTGTGTGTGCACTAGATAATAACCTCGTGTGGTTTGCTTTTACTTTTAGTGTTGGATGGGTTCCCAGAAGTATGCATTCTTAAATGTTTTTGTATTCCTTTTGGGGACAAGATGGCAAAGGGAACCATTTTGAGGCCTACCAAGTTTTTCTGAATACCAGCCAATAAGCTCGGAGGAACTTGCTGATGTTGTTGTTGTCACTATCTACTGTCTTTTACCCAAAGAAAATTATTTTTCAATACACCGGTTAATCTTTCTTTGGAGCCAAAAGTCCTATTTGTGGTATAGCAAGTCACAAATTGATTTCAAAATGCTTCACAGTACTTTAAAAAGGAAAATGAATAAGGAAGGCTTAAAATGAATAGCCAGCTGCCTTGTCTGAAAGTCTGTCATACAGAAAATAAGTTGCATGTGATTAGGAGCAAATGCCTTTTTGCTGCGCTTGGAGCTGCCATGTTACACCACTTGAAACCAGAGCAAGGACATCAGATAATGAAGCTGTGTTAATGCCAAAACTGAGAAAACAGCTGATGTAATGCAAAAAAGTTACACTTCTAAATTCTGGTTAACGTTGACACAGCATACAAGCAGATGCATAAGTTACATGTAGGTGCACAAGGATTAATAGGGCACAATGCCATTCTACCCACATCAGGCAAGCAGTGAATTTGCCCTAACTCTCTTGTGGCTGTGAAAAGCTGCCAGAACATAGGCACATTTAGACCAAAATCTTGTTGCAAGTCTTAATTAGATGCACTGAGTCAAATGCTAAATAGCCAATAGCAATGAACATATTGGCCATTTTGCATCCATATCATTCTGGGGTACCGTGAAGGAAAAATGTCAGCTATCATAAAACGTGGTGTTGAGTAAAAAGGTTGACAGTGTTGCCTTTTATTTTAAGTAGGGTGAGATAAATTAATTTATCAGATTGTCTGAAAACAATGTCCTCTGAGACAAAATGGTCTCAGCTCAATGTTGGTCCTTAAACCCAAACAGATATGTAGGGAGCAGCAGCTTCTTTGGCCCCTTCCACACAGCTGAATAAAATCCCACATTTCCTGCTTTGAACTGTAATATATGGCAATGTGGATTCAGATAACCCAGTTCAAAGCAGGTATTGTGGTATTTTCTGCCTTGATATTCTGGGTTATATGGCTATGTGGAAGGGCCCTTAAGAGTTTTCCAAATACTTAATGTAGAGCTGGTTTAGCACTTGTGTTCTTTCTGAAATTTCTCCTTCTTTCTGTATTAAAATGATAATGTTCAAAGCAGAAGAAATGGTTTAATGTAGGACCCTTCCACACAGCCCTGTATCCCAGAATATTAAGGTAGACAATCCCACAATATCTGCTTTAAACTGGGTTATCTGAGTCCACATTCAGACAATGCGGGATTTTCTGCCTTGATATTTTGGGATATAGGGCTGTGTGGAAGGGCCTTCCATGATAGCCTTATCAACAGCTTTGAAACTATTTGTGTTGTGTTTTGTTCTGATCTCTTTCTGTTCTTGTATTTGGTTTACCCCATCACTGGCTCATTTATGTGGTATTTCTAGCCAATACAATGATGCATGCGAATTTATGAGTATTGCAACTGACTTGTTGATCTTTCCTGTTTTGAAGGGAAACCAAATTCTTAGTGGTCTTTCTGTTGAAGAATACAAGGCAACTGTCAAAATGATCAAACAAGCCATTCTTGCCACAGACCTTGCACTGTACATTAAGTAAGTCGAAGTTACTTGGCTGTGTAAATGCCATAGTTCAACTGTGCAATTTTTTTCCTTTCCTTTTTTAGTTGGCTATTTCTGTTCTAAATAGACAGCGATGTAGCAACTTCCTTTTGCAGCACTCAATAAATATTCTTTTTTATATTTCAAGGAGAAGAGGCGAGTTTTTTGACCTTCTGAGGAAGAAACAGTTTAACCTAGAAGACCCTTATCAAAAAGAGCTATTTTTGTAAGTAAAAAAAAAACCCAAAACAAACCCTTACTCCCATAAGTATAAAGGAAACCACTTTCTGCAATACAGTTTCTGGCTTTTTCAACAGATCAATTTATAATTCTTCACATTAGCCTAGAACACCAGTCACAAGACCTTTAGATTAATTGAATAGCTTGCCTAGGCTGGCCTCTAAGAGAACAGAAAGAAATTGTCTCATGCATATAGTTGAACAACTGGCTTCTGATAGTTATGTAAGCCCTCATATTATTTCCCAACCCGTAGTGTAAAAGGCATGATAGAATACTGTATTGTTCCTTCGCTGAAGGTTCATTGTCCCGAAGCACTGATCTGTTAAAGGCAATACTCTGTAAGTTTCAGGAAGGTTATTCATGGGAAACAGTCGGGTTAATGTTACAATGACTCCAAACAGGGAATCAGTACTGTAGCCACAGGGATATATTTATCATGCATATACAGCAACTCTGTTTTGTTGCCACTGCCAACAAATGGGAACAATTCCAGTTTAGACAAGTTATGTTTTTGACTACACAACTCCACGTTATTTCCAGCCAGCATATCTATAAACTCCAAAAACATAGCTTGTCCAAGCTCTGAGTAATTCAGGCCCTTTCCACACGGCTGAATAAAATCCCACATAGAATCATAGAATCCTTAAGTTGGAAGAAACCTCATGGGCCATCCAGTTCAACCCCCTGCCAAGAAGCAGGAAAATCTCATTCAAAGCACCCCCGATAGATGGCTATCCAGCCTCTGTTAAAAAGCCTCCAAAGAAGGAGCCTCCACAACACTCTGTGACAGAGTTCCATTGCTGAACAGCTCTCAAAGTAAGGAAGTTCCTCCTCATGTTCAGATGGCATCTTCTTTCCTGTAGTTTGAAGCCATTCTTCTGCATCCTAGTCTCCAGGGCAGCAGAAAACAAGCTTGCTCCCTCCTCCCTATGACTTCCCCTCACATATTTATACATTACCATCATGTCTCCTCTCAGCCTTCTCTTCTGCAGGCTAAACATGCCCATTTCTTTAAGCCACTCCTCATAGGGCTTGTTCTCCAGACCCTGGATCATTTTAGTCACCCTCCTCTGGTTATCTGCTTTGAACTGGGATATATGGCAGTGTGGACTCAGCTATTCCAATTCAAAGCTGATGTTGTGGGTTATTCTGCCCTGATATTCTGGGTTTTATTGCTGTGTGGATGGGCACTCAGATGGGCTTCTGCTGGTAACCTAGATCAGAAGTGGAAAACAAGGTCCTTCAGATGTTGGGGTTTCAACTTTCAGAAGCCACAGCCAACAGGCCCAAATGGGAGTTTGAGGGATTATGAAATACCTATAAGGCCAGAGTTTTCCCAGTCCTGACTCTGGTTATGTGAATCAAACAAATACAAGAAAGGAAGGATCAAGTCTCTACCACAGATACATAAACCACAAATGATTATCTTTTGGGTTATAGGTTATGGTATTCTATTTAGTGCTGCATTTTAATATTCCTGTTTGTTTGCTTGCTAATAATAATAATAATAATAATAATAATAATAATAATAATAATACAAATAATAATAATTTATTTCTATACTGCTCTCTCTCCCCGATGGGGACTCAGGGCAGTTTACATATAAGAAGGCAGACATTCAATGCCTAAGAGACTACAAAAACATATCAAAATACAAGATATAACACAATAATAACAATGAGTCTTTGAAGCTACATTAGCTTCACTTACTATTCTCATTTATAATTGTTATTCTCTCACATCCTGGTTATGGAATATCGCTCCTGTGACCGCATCCATTTACATCAACAGACAGTGAGCACTGCAAATGTTCAGTCTATTTCACTGCTTGTAAATGCTCAAATTATTAAAAGATGTCTAAATGGTCACATCTGGATTAAAGCATCTGGGATGTCTGACTTGGACACTAGTGGTGCATGTCTTAGTTGCATCCCAGTTGGGTTATTGTTATTGCATCCTGCCTTTGAAGACTGTTTAGAAACTTCATCTAGTCCAAAGAGCTGTAGCCAGATTACTAACAGGTACTAATAAAAGGCCCATACTTGTTTGGAATAACATGCTAAGGTAGTTTTAAAGCAAAAAAGACATGCATAATGTAATAGTTATTTGGTCTCTACAGGGCAATGCTCATGACTGCATGTGACCTATCAGCAATAACCAAACCATGGCCAGTTCAGCAACGGGTAAGTTTCTGCCCAAGGCTAACCACTCCCTTTTGGAAACTCATTAAAGTGTTTTTCCCCAATAAATATTTATCCTGCTTTATTTTTTTACATTAGCAAAATAACTTTTTGTTTAAAGAAACAAACTAATTCATCATGTTGCAAAGCGCCTTCACCACTGGCCTTTGCAAGGAGTTATTACTGATGGTTTGTAGAGTTTTACTTAGAAACTATAATTATGATGGAGTCTCTGTTGGTGCAATGGGTTAAACCCTTGTGCCAGCAGGACTGCTGACCAAAAGGTTGACAATTCAAATCCGGGGAGCGGGGTGAGCTCTCGTCTGTCAGCTCCAACTTCCCATGCAAGAGAAGCCTCCCACAGGGGAGGTTTTACAGGGGATGTCACAGGTTTTACCAGAGGACATCTAGTAAAACATCCAGGCATCCCCTGGGCAACATCCTTGCAGAAGGCCAATTCTCTCACACCAGAAGCAACTTGCAGTTGCTCAAGGCACTCCCGACAGGAAAAAAAATGATAAAAAGGGGAAAATGCACATTTTGACTTGATGGGGATTCTGGGAGTTGTAGTTCAAATTTATCGAAACTTAAGATACCCCAGGAAGTATTTAGGGAGTGGATAAAGTCCTGACTAGAGAGTTGCACCGTGCCTAGTATTAATCTGGTCAAGTGGTGTGATAATTTTTCTCCCACATGGCCATGGAGGCTGTTGGTGCACTTTCCCAGTTTGAGACATCCATCATTGGTAAGCAGTGTCAATTGCAGTATAATTAAATGGAGTCATCAAGAGCAACCTTTCCTAGACTAAAGGTTGCTCCTTGGGGTGCCTCAAGTCACCTCCGGGTTGAGAGGGGCGGTATATCAATGTGGTAAATAAATAAATAAATAAATAAATGTAATTGCTAGTTTATAGACCAAAAATCAGTTGCCGAGTAGTAAAACAACATGTATGTAAGTCCCATTAATGTAATGAATCTACTTTATTATGAAGTATGCTTTTTAAACCAAAGTATGGGATTGTTAGCCACCTTGAATCCCCACAAGGAGAAAGGTGGGGTATAAATAAAGTTAATAATAATAGTAATAGTAATAATAATAATAACACTTTTTAGCACTGTAATTTTTTTAGCAGTATTTAGTTTATACTAGCAGTATAAATAATAAATAGAGAGTAGATTTGGATCTTTTTCCTCATTTAGCTCAAGTTGAATTCTTTGTGTCAGATCTTTTAGAAGCTTGAAGCCTGCTATGATTTAGTTTTATGCACATAGTGAAAGAACTACTATATACCAAAGTGTTATGTACTAGGAAAGAAATAAAGGTACAGTATAAGAGTATTGGCAGCGTGTGCCTTGAAACACAAATATTGATTTCCAGATTTTTTTCAAGAGAAGCCCTTTCCTTCTAAAGAGGAGTAGCTGTGGGGGAAAAACTCTTAAATTTAGATACAAGCTAACTCAAGAAAAGGCCAAAAATGGGGAAACTGGCAAACTTCCAAATGAGGAAAATGACAACTTCCAAATAATTTATAATATTTTATAAATTTTAATCTAAATGCTGTTGCTTCTTCAAACTAGACTAGACCATTGAATCTGTTGCTGAATACTAGTAAGTCAAGAATTGATTCAGTGTTTATTCAGGACTAATAACCGAATTTAGGATTCAGTTTGAGTCATAGTATACATTCTCTTTGAATATTGTTCATTTCTTTCCTAATCTTACAGCGTATCATTTTTGGAGATGTTGTTGATATGATGATTCTACTCATGTGAGATATTTGACTGTTACGATAAAAATCACTAAATGTATTAAGTTGTTTGGTATTTTGTTTTTTGAAAACACAGATAGCTGAGCTTGTCGCTGCTGAATTCTTTGATCAAGGGGATAAAGAGAGACAAGAACTCAACATAGAGCCAACTGTAAGTTAAAGAATCTTCTATAAAGAAGATTTTTCTTTCTTTCTTTATGATTTTAGATCTTATTTTTTCACATGTAAAATAGATCTTGTCTTCTGTCAAATTTATTATTATTTTTAGTACTTACTTACCTCCTTACTTAAGTGATCCCTTGTTGTTCAAGTGTAGTGTCTTGGCGGTGGATACGTAGGTGTGGAGCCCCATTCTTGACCTACGTGTTCTTCCGCAGTGAGGGCAGCAGTTTCCAAATGGAAAGCGGTCCCGGTCAGGGTTGGCTTGATGTGTCTTCCTCTTGGCACATTTCTCCCTTTTACCCTCCATTCATGCCTCTACAATTTCCACAGCACTGCTGGTCACAGCTGACCTCCAATTAGAGCGCTCAAGAGCCAGGGCTTCCCAGTTCTTGGTGTCTATGCCACAGTTTTTAAGGTTTGCTTTAAGCCCATCTTTAAATCTCTTTTCTTGTCCCCCATTTTCCATTCTTGAGTTGGGAGTAGAGTCACTGATTTGGGAGATGGTGATCAGGCATTCAGACAACATGGCCAGTCCAACGGAGTTGATGGCGTAGGAGCATCACTTCAGTGCTGGTGGTCTTTGCTTCCTCCAGCACACTGACATTTCTCCACCTGTCTTCCCAAGAGATTTACACGATTTTACTGGTGGAATCATTCCAGGAGCTGAGTGTGACATTTGTAGACAGTCCATGTTTTGCGGGTATATAACAGGGCTGGGAGGACAATAGCTTTATAAACAAGCACTTTGGTCTCCCTATGGATGTCCTGGTCCTCAAACACTCCCTGCTTCATTCGAAAAAATGCTGCACTTGCAGAGCTCAGGCGGTGTTGTGTTTCAGTGTTAATGTTGGCCCCCCTCGATGGACTGTCACCTTGTCGTGGTGAGGGGGCTTGCGCATTCCGATGAACCTGTAGGCACAACAACTGGAGTCGTGCACTCCCAGGAGTGGCCGGGGGGAGGTTCCAGACCAAGCACAGTCCGAAGACCCAAAGACCTCAACGGCGGAGCAGGCGGAGGATAACATGGCACATGTTACAACGGCTGCGAAGGCGGAAGAAGGCTGCAACAGACTGAGAAGCCACGGTCATTGTGTTAAACTACATCACCAGTGGAACCTCACTCTGTGAAGTCTGTGTGTTGATCAGTTGTGCACTGACCTCCACACATTAAAAAAAAACCACGCACAGGCGTCTTCCAAAGAAAATAAAAACAAACCAACCAAAGTCCCATGGCGATCAGCGAGTGGCGACGGGGGCAGGACTGTGAAATCTGGAAGCCCCTAGTCACAGACTGGCACATGGGCGGTGGGTACGGACTCAGTCGTTCTACCTCAAGGTCCGAGGCAGTTGAGTAGTTCGGCAGCTGTATCCGCGACTGAGCAGCCCTTTTTAGGACCCACTCTGCTCACCCCACACGGGGAGGGGGCTAGAAAAGGTGCCCTAAACATAGTCTGCCTCACTTATCCCTGACTGGACTGCCGCGTCCAGTGGGGTCACCACCTGCGGCC